TCGACTTCGTCCTTAATTTTTGCACGCCAGTGTATACAGAAATTAGAAAAGTAGACAAAATTCAATTCATAAAAATTACGAAAGAATTAACAACTTCAAACAAACAAGTTTTGAAATTTATATATATGCATATATAAAAATTTTATAGTATAAGTTTTTTATGTGCTAGATCTTTTAATTTTCTAACTAATTTTCTTTCTCTGCAAATGTTTCAGGACCTCCATCAACATTTATAATCGATGGGATTTTACAAATGGAAAAGAAGTTTCACAAGTTATTTTCATATGCTTAAGGCCTATAAATATATATCAGTTCTTATATATGGAATGCATTTCGTTCAAAAGCTTATATAATGGCAAAAGTAAAAGTATATTTACGGGTACCCCTTGGCAAAAATTAGCGATTTTTGGTGGTACATGGATACCGAATTTGTGTAATTCTTTGACTTGTTATTTTGTCTTTGTGCAGCGGCAAAAAATTGCCACTACCCAAAGACAAAGTAACAAGTCAAAGAATTGCGCAATTGGTACCATGTACACATTGACCTTTTTACTTCAAAAAACTCCAGATTGCACAACTTGCCATGGCCCTTGACATAAGGTCCCTGTCCACACGATATATTTTCATTAACAAGTCAAGGACACCCAATTCTAGTAAATTAATTTATGGAACATTCTTTACTCAGGTGCCATAAAGAAACAACAACTTGGCGAAATGAAACAACACTTGCGTAATGAACAACATTTGGCATAATGAAACACCATTTGGCAATAAATGAAACACATTGGCGATAAATAAACACCTGCGATAAGGAAACAACAACGGGTGCAATATACAAGCGGTACCTTAGTCTACCTACCCATAGATTTGGTTCTTAGTTATTATATAAGAGAATGTTTTTTAATTTAGACCAATACTTTGGCTAGAGTAACTGAAGAATCCCCTTGTATATATGAAGTTTTTTTCATTTATCGCCAAGTTCATGCTTTATTTATGGTAACCTGAGTAGTTGAATGTTCCATAAATATCCTTTTATCTAGAATTGGGTGCTCCTTTGACTTTTTAAGTGAAAATATATCGATGTGTACACGGACAAAGTCAAGGGAGTATGCAATGCAAAGTTTGTGCAATTCTCTGGTGGTTTTTTTAAAAGTTAAAATAGGTTGGTGTGTACATGGATAAAGTCAAGGGAGAGCATGAAGAATTGCACAAAGTCGGTATCTATGTGCTGCCAAAAATCACCAATTTTCGTGAAGAGGTACCCATAAATATACTTTTACCAAAACTTATCCCCTTTATTTGGTTTTTCTATCATGAACTGCATTTTTTAAATACTCAATTATACGAAAATTAGCCTTTGTCAAGCTTTTATTGTATTTAAAATCCATACTTGTTGGTCTGAAAACCTTTTTAAAACATTCTTTCTTAGCAGATATTACCTTAGTTGTAAATAAAATATTAACTATACTTCTTTTATTTCTATATAGTCTCTTTGAAGTAGCCATGCTTTGCAGTGACTGCATGTAAAACTCTTCATCAAATAGCAAACAATGCAAGTATCGTAATCAGGATACAAACTTGAGCTACACAAAAATTCGTGTCAACATTACTTGTTGTAAAAGTTATGCAGTTTTTTATTTTTATTAACTAATAAACAATGTAAAATATACTATTTTTTAATATAGAATATACTGAAATTTCCAATTTAAAATAAAAATCAGTTTATTACAATCATTGTGATTTTATTACATACCAGTCATTTGTGTAGTGTCTTCTTCGGAAATCCCAGTTATTTTAAAGCATGCATCTACTTGCTGAGCAACAAGAGGTTTTGTTGGTGCCATGAAGATCACTTTTCCTTGAGGATACCATCTATAGATGTTAAACATAACAACTGCTGCAATAAATGTTTTACCCAGTCCTGTTGGTAATATGACTAATGTATTTTTAAACAATGCTTCTTTAACTATAGTGAACTGATAATCACGAACTGGATGATTGGTGGGGTAAATCCATGTTTGACCAGCATTATGATCAAAACTTGTTTCACCAATATTTGATTCATTTTTTGAATACTTTGTGGTCTGGAAAAAAAGAAATAAAAAAGATTTTCTATTATATTTAATAATAATTGTGCAATATTTTGAAATAATAAAGATAAAAAATACATATTTCTAAAGTATACCATTAAATTTAATTATTCTAATAAAAGCAAAAACATATAATGGTTATAATTGTTTTTGTTTTTTCCATTGAAAGCAAAATATGCTCAAAAGACAGTACACATAATACAAAACTCAGAAAAAAAATTCAGATATCTGCTTAACATAGAAACATCATCCATGAGTTCATCATACGACTTTAAATTTATTTAATTTATAAAATCAAATCATGAGATAAAATAGAATGACATTTAAAATTTACAGCATTATTTAAATCAATGCATTACATCTTTGACATTTTGCAGCCAGTCATAATGATACAACAAAGTTATATTATCAGAATGGAAATCAATATATATAATGCCAAAATATACACGAGTAAACAAAATACAAATGATTTGAATTTACCCATCTATTATATACATTCTGAAGAGTTTTCAGAATTTCATCAAATGTATTTAAACAATTTATTACAAATAATAATGAACATTTTTATGAAATAATATCTACTAATACAACAATAAATGTTAAATGCAACATCTTTAATTAAATAAATAACAGCTTTAACTAACCTGAAATATATCATTACTAGAAAAGTCGAAAGCAACTCCAGCTGTGTTCTTTCCTGATGTAATTGCTTTAGAAGAGGATGGTAAATTGGTTCCTGATTTTTTCAAAACTTCTTTCGGAGGGGACTTATTCCAAGTTTCATACAATGTCTTCTGTTTTTTATTCATTTCTTTAAGATCACGACAAAATAAGTTAGCAAAGTCTGAGATTTGGGACAAATTAAATTCATTTTAACCATAATGTTATTTTCATTAATAATTTATTGCGAAAGGAATGTGAAGATAATAATCAAAATAGGTACACTGTAGCAAGGTTATGCAAGATATTTAGGAAATAATAAATATTATGCACAACTTATTAGCTATATTTTAATTACCGAATAATGAATATTAAGTGATTGTTGAAAAACATAAAATTAACATAAATCGATAATAACTCAATTTAAAAAATTCAACACTAACAACACACGATTATGTCAACTTTCCCACATATTTTCTTTTTGTTGACATTTCAAAAATTGATGAGTAAAGTTGAGATGTCTGGAATATATATTTCCGGTAACGATCTTTTTTCTTTTTCTTTACATAGATCGCAAAATAATAACAATTGAAACTATGGCATGAAAATATAAAATAATATATAATCTTTCTTGAAATGTAGGAAAAATAACCTAGGTAATTTTATCAGATTATACTGAACTACTGAAATAATTAGCTTTTAGTAAAGCACATGTTGTAGTTTCCTTTGGCAACATTGATTCTCTTCAGTTGCTTACTTCTGTCTGCTCGTTTTTCCGGGTGCAAATAAATAAAAGCTAACCGATAAGTTAAAGGAAGATGGCTATAAGGGGAAATGTAATAATGAGTGTCAGAAAAATGTATAGTAGAACTAGGGAATGTTTATAAAGATTAAAACTATATCTTGGTTGCATAAAGGGATCATTTTTGAAAGGTAGTATGTGTAAACAAAACATGAAATATTTGCTGTTATTACTGTGAGTGCCAGGATCGATTACTCATTTAAAAATGAGCAGTGCTGATGAATTCCTTTATTTCCTTCTTAGTTAATAAACAAAGACTTAGTTATTGTATTTTGAATCGAAAGTACATTTGTACATTGATGACCAGGGATGAATTTTGTAAATTTTTTATTTGCATTATGTTGAATTCGTTGTGCCCCTGTTATATGACTCATTTTTCTTGAAAAATGTTTTGTTTCCAAACTATAGTCAAATGAGCAGTCTCTTAGCAACGAGTTGGTAAGACGATGAAATGTTGATAGTTTATGTCCCATTCAAAAATCTTTAAAAACAAAGCTTTAAATTTTTTGACTAAAAATATGACATGAAAAGTGAATTTCGGATTTGTTTAGTGTTCTCATTAAAGGAAGGAAATGATAAGCATTTTAATCTGGTAATTTTTAATGGATGAATGTCATTTATTTTGGCAAAAGTTTTTTTTGCACGATCTGTGATGTGCAATAGGAAACTTCTCCTGTATCAAACAGCTTTAAATAGCGAAGGCATGTAATGAAAAATCTTTTTTATTTTCCCAGTATATTATGCTATTTTGTATGAATCTTCCGGTGTTGAAGTTGGAAAACGCAAAATATATAACAGAAAATGTACTGTGATAAATTGAATACTTTCAAATTTGTTATTTCATTCAAATATAACAAGTATAATGAGTATTTTGCTATGAAAACCTTCAGTATTGCCAGAGTGCAATTATGTTTGTTTCTCACCAATGCAGAAATGCACCAAATGAAAATTATCAGTAAAGCTGCTGCAAAAGACATGTCCCAAATTTTGCGTTACTTCTAGAAACAATTAGACATACATATATGCAATACTTTTTGATTATATGCACTCCCGCAAAAAACTGGCAGCTGAATAGTAACTTTTTAAATTGGCAAAAAATGTTTGTTGATCTTTACATTATGGTAACTTGGCGATTTTTTGGCGAAAATTTGGCAACCAACTCTCCTACAGCAACCCTCTATTTTTTTTCCCCGCCAACCATTTTGCTTCACAAAGTAGACGTTTTCTTTTCGTTTTATCTCGGAACACTTCTCCAACAATCGACGAGCCGAATTACCTTATCTAAAATTTTATAAACAAACGCTAATCATGACAAATTCACTGCAAATTGGGAAAAGCACATACATACCTTTACAGGTTTTTCAAAATACACATACACAAATCCATGTACACCCCGTTTTTTTTTACTTAAAAAAAAACATCCCAGAATTGCACAAAAAGGCATTGCGCACACTCTTCACTAATCCAGTACAAGCTGCTTTTTTTCTCATAAATTAGAAACCTTTCACGAAATACATGACATTTCTCAATCTTTAAACCCGGTAAAAAGAACATGTATGAAATTACCTATCGCGAAAAGTATTTACCCTTTCCAATAAAACATTTCCCATATAAAATAATAAATATCAAAAACTTTTACCTCTAAACATCGATGACATTATACACGTCACCACCGAATTCATACCACAAGCTTACAATCTTAATCACTATTAATTATTTCCATGCACGTTTACTTCAACTAAAACTATATACAAATTCCTACAACAAAAATTCACAAATAACTATCATTTCATGAATATAATAAATTCAAAACCTACTTAATTATAAATAGCAATACATAAATATAAAATTACCTTATACAATCAATTACTTAAACTAAATCATTGCTAATAATTTTTTCCCAATAATACCAAATTCCTTCCACCTTACATTTAGAACAATGCATAAAATAATCCTCAATAATCAAAAATACTAACGTACCTTAATCTTCTTCAGAAGCTCCTTGATACGTGCGATAACCTTTTCTATTCATTCAATAACATTATTGAAGATTTTTTTCTGCTAATTTTTCCTCCAGACTTCTCCGCTAAAAAAGCAAAACTTCTCTTTATCACATTGCCTAAATACCCATTTCAATTTACTTGTTAGGCCGTGGGATCCAAAATTAACCACCACTGTTTCACACAACCAGAATAAAGCCAATACAAAATTTCCAGATTTTTTCCCATTTCCCCCTTTTCCGGCCTTTAAAAACCGTAATTCGTCCATTAATATCACATGACAATCCATATCTCTCATTTCCCCCACAACAAAAATAATGCGTAATCGAAACAAAGGGTAACTGTCACATTATTACCAAATCCAGGTAGTAACTTTATCGCCTCCAAATGTCGCCAAACTACCAGTTACCATTGTAAGATCAACCAAAATGTTTGATTATCTTTTCCCATTATAGTACTATTCTGTTTATAAACAGTAAAAGAAGCATTTTGTAAAAAACAAAATATGTCGAAGAAATAAAAATTTGGCTGATCTTTCGAATATGGTAACTGGTAGTTTGGCGACATTTTGGAGGTGATAAAGGTTACTACCTAGGACTTTGGTAATAATGTGTACAGTAGACACCACTTACTATGATCACGGTTATCGTTATCATGTAGATATTGTAATCGAATTGTTGAAGTTGTATTCTGTTATAGGAAACATGGAAAAATATTACTTATTGTGATCAACAATTCAGTAAACATGATCAAAATACTGTGGAATAAAAATTTTAACCATATCATAACATGAAGCTAGGCAAGCACCTTTGTAGTACCATTGGTGATTGAGGTATTGCTGAGCCTAGCTTAGTTAGTTAGAAACAACATCTATCAGCAGGACGAGGAGAACTCGGTGCCAGGTACATTGTGCCAGCACACACTTAATTCCCAAGTGCTATCCTGCAAACTGCCAGTAGCTCATGAAGTATCCCATCAGAATACTGGAGTCGAATCACACCTGTCATTTTAATGAAACTTAAATTTTGTGTACATGTTAATCACTTATGTGTAATTTAATCACGTATTTGTTAGTTTGAAATATTTATTGTGTTATATTGCTATCTTCTTAAGTGACTTAGCTTAGATCTGTTCTGAAGGTATTGATACAATATAATAAAAGTTGACCCTTTATAAAAACATTCCCTGACTACATTGTAGTTATTGTAAATGACATCTCTTTAGTACCATTACCTAGCTATTACACAATGTTCTTAGCAATCTTGTGAAACTTTATCTATATTTTAAAACGGCCTGATAAAAAGTAATCTGTACTGTTAAGAGCTGCAGATCTTGGTAAAAAAAATACCTCTTTGTGGAATGCATTGGCAAATATTTATGTATTTAATTTTACTGTGATATTTAAAAAATATTTTTTAAAATTATTTTTAGGGAATGGATTTTACTGAATCATGGAATGATACTTGCTCCCAAGTTGGTTATGCTGCTAGATTGGGAAATTTAGAGTATTTACGCCAGTTTATTCGGCAGAAGAAACCTGTTGATGTGGCAGACAATAGAGGATGGAAACCACTGCATGAAGCAGCTGTTTTTTCACCTTCTTTAGCTTGTTTAGAGGAATTGTTAAAGCACAGTAATATAAATTTTGACTGACTATGTATTTTTAAGTATTTTGTATGATGTGTACTTATAGTGATGTCTTGCATAAAGAATGCATTGCACATACTAAAAGTACAAAATCACTAAAAATGTTTTTCGTAAAAGATATAATCCCATATTATGAACTTCATACTTATATTGTTTCATATTATTAATAGGTTAAATATGAAGGTGAATTTGTGTTACTTTTTTTTAGTACACTTCTGTTATTAGGACTGGATTCACAAAAGTATGTACATACACATATACTTGCATACATGAACATATACACCTATACATGCATACATTTCTGAGTCTGAACAAAAGAGTACACATTTCTTTTTGTAGACAGGGGAAAAATACAGAAAAGAAAAAAAAAAAAAAAAAAAAGCGTTTGTGCATAATAGAAATATAGAAATAGTTAGCAGAGGACTGGCCAAAAAAGCATGTCTCGTAATATCATCAAGAAGTTCCGAGAAAAGATTCTTCAGGTGAGGACTTTTTGAGGAAGATGGTAAGAGTCAAACATTGGCATCCCAGTCAAGTTGAGATGTGAGCAAAGTGCCAAATTTAATGATGATATCAGTGTTGTGCACTACTTGAAAGGAAGGGAGAAGGTAACATTATCTGGCAACTTTCGGAAAACCTGGATTTCCCAAAGTACTAAAGGCAAATATGCCAGAAGTTCAGAACAGCTGAATTTTCCCTCCTCTAATGAAAGACTGAGGCTAACTTGAAGTTAAAAACTAAGAGACTGTTTACATGATATTTTTATTATTAATGAATTAGTAAATTCAGAGTATTTCCAATGTTGATTGTGTTTTTAATAGTCCTTGAGGTTCTACTCTTATATGCATCCTATGATCACCAAATGTGGTGATATGTGTTCTGCGCTGGTTTTTGGCACGATTGCGTGTTGTATGGCAACCCTTTTGACGTTGAAAACTCTTTCTGGGTGTTTTATGTGTTTAATGCTTGTTGGTTTTTATGTCGTGTGTTTTTGAAATGGCCTATTTTGAATGCTAGATTTGTGGCAAATTTCACTTGCTAGTTAGATTGTGTGACAGTCCTTTAGTCTTCACAGTCCGCTGTGGGCGCTGTTACCTTGCTCTTTTGTCCCGGGTGTGTTTCTCTCTTGCCGTGTCTTTTTGCTTTCTGTGGGACTTTTAAAACAGAGTCCGAAATGTGGAGCTGCTATGTGAACTGGGACGAAGAAAGGTATTTTGAATAGTTCTTGTGTGAATTTGCAGTCAAATGCTTGTTGGTATAGTATGTGGCTGTCAGCAGAGTTTAAGATTTGGATTGTGCCATTAAATTAAAAAATAAATATCTTATGCTTTGCAAAATGACAGCACCTTGGCCTGTGGATGATAATTTATTTTGGGAAGTACCAACACAATTCTTTTAACTCCCTGAGGTGTCGCCAGTGGCTGAGTGTTTAAAACCACTAATTATGATGGTCCAGTCTGCTTTGTATCCCATACAAATGAGCTGTTTGTATGATTGATTTTCATGATTTTATGCTTATGTAATGCACCCTTGTATAAGCCATTTTCCTTTAGAAAATCCTCAATGAAGGCATCTGTCTCCTTAGGCAGTTACGCTTTGTGTGCTTTGCAGTATTCAAATAACCTCATAATCTTGTTTAAATCACTTGAGTTTTCTGATTAAACTAGAAAGATGACTGCCTTATGCTCTGCCTAGTGGCAGCTCATTGCTTTTAAACTGCTTTATTTGTTGATTAAATTTGTTAGACAAATATCTTATACATTAGCTAGTGGCAACCTGTTGTTTTTAAACTACTGAATTTCATGATTAATTTTGAAATATAAATATCTTGTGCTTCGCTGAGTGATGACACATTGTTTTTAAATTGCAAAGTTTATTAATCAAGACTTCTTTAAGTTTGAACAAAACGTGCAATGACTAAAAACCACATTCAGAAAGGCCATCTCTTCCTGTAGGAGATTATATGTGTTCAGAATTTGATGGTTCTAGATACTGATTTTTTTCCATAATATGAGGAAGATTCATAGTACATACTAACAGATTACTGGCATAGCCCGTATAGGGTCATAGGGCAAACTTTGTTTTGCAAGGTGGACCGGGCTGCACCCTAATAAAATTTTTCATTGGTTAATTAAAGAGATTTAATGATAAACTATTAGTTATGTTTTGTGCTTTATTTATCATCAGTTTCTTTTTCTTTGAAAATTTTGTATCTTAAGTGTATTTCAAGAATTGAAATGTATGATTATGTTCAGTAGCATGTTAAAATAAAAATAGCCAGTCATGCATCTAATTTTTTTCCTCCCCTTTTTTCTTAAATTCAGCTGGAAAAAAGATATTAATCAGTTATTTGACTTTTTTAATTGATGTCATTATTTATATATGTATTTTCTCTACATAATCCTAAATTTTTGTTTTTTAAATCATTATTGGAATTTTGTTGTATTTTGTTATGACTTATCTCACTTCTCTGAAAGTAACATCAGATCAAATCCATACATTTTATCATGTCCAACAATACTTGAGCACATTATAGGTGACAGTCTGAATTTACACAGTTCTATACCAGTTTTAAAAAGAAGCCTTTATGCATTAGATCTGAGAGTTTCCTTCCTTGCTTTTGCCTTCCACAAGTCTCTCAAGCATGATTTTGACTTAACAATATTTTAAGTGACCCTGTGTCATAAAGACACACTGTTCAGGTAAAAATATCCATGTCTTCTCCAGGATTGCCCAGAGTATGGCAGCCAACTCCCTAACTACCATGCCAAGTAGAGTGATTTGTTAGAATTTTAATTTCTCATAGTCATAATGATAAGAGCAATCACTATGCCTAAATAATTTTAAATTTCAAAAGATTAATTTGTGAGCAAGAACAAGATTGGATAATCTAAACCCAAATCTTTGTTAATTCATGTTGCTGAACATTTATGTTTTTCTGAATTCTCTTCAGTATTAGGGATTGAGATAAAACAGTAATTTTAAATCAAAATATTTTACTCTGATAACCTTCTAAAATCTAGTGCCTCTCCCACAAAAGAAAAACAAAAATTATTTAAAAAAAAATCAGGCAATTTAAAAAGTATATTTTATCTCCAGATTTATTAGGACAGTTCTTCTTTTTAGAGAAAAGAAAATGATGAAGGCATAGGTTAACTTGATTTGGATTGCAAGTAGCTGCACTGTACAAAAGCTGTTGTGTCAGAAATTGTATTAGAATTCATATTCAGTTATGAAGACTTCTAATTTCATATTTTTATCTCTGTTACTCAGCTGTTTGTTCATTTGCTATTTACTGTTAACACAATCAATTACAAGTTTAATTATTGCTTCTCTCTTACCTATGATATTGTTGGCTCTTAAAGAAGTTACTGAAAAGTAGTTGAGTTTTTCACTTGAACAGTGCAAAAAATCTTTTTATGTTTCACAGTTAGTAAAAATTTTTAATATTGTGAAATAATGCTAAATTTAAAAGCATTAAATATATTTTGTTTTTGATATTATTAGGTGACTTGTGTATGAGTATTTGCTTATATTCAATTTTAAAGGCATGTTTCGTTTAACATTTGCAATCGTTCACATTTATTCTCAGACACTTGTATTTTTCAGTTTTATTTGCAAATATTAATTGCTAAATATTACCAAAATGACTTCTTCTTTGACAGATATCATTACTTTTAAAACCTAGTTGTTTTGAAAATACTTATTTAAAACATTTTTAGTTTAAAAAAAACTATGTATTCAAAAAGTTTTGAAATGAACTCGTATAAGTATTCGGACGCTTTGAATATACAGTTTATTTTTAATGAAAATGTAAAAATAACCGAATATTTAACATTTTGTTGGCTTCTTTTAACTAAAATTACACTATTTGTGCACTTTGATATGCATTCAACTAATTTTTATTGTGTAAGCATTTCCATTTTATTCCATTCCTCTGTATGAATTTCTTTTTTGTTAGAGCTTTCAAAAAATACATTTTCTTATTTTTTTATACATCTTACTCCATACAAGTTGTACAAGATTTAAATTCAGAGAATATAGAGGAATTTTGGTAACTTCAGGACAGTTGTATAGTAACCATTAGCAAACCTTTAGGGCTCAATGTTTAGTATTGTTATCTTGATAGAACTTGAATGTATTTTGCATTCTAAGTCTTTTTTCCCTCCCAGATGCTTTCCTATTTTCATTAAGAATACTTATATATTTATACTGTTCCATATTATTTTCTAGAAAACTAAAATTTCCATGCCAAAAGATAGAAACATTTCCAGTCCGTTATGCCTTCTTCGTGTGCTTCGTGTATAGGTTTTTCAGATTAAATTCTTCATTTGGCCTTCACCACACTGTAATTCAATCATTGGACCCAGATATACTAAATTTTGACTCTTTTGCAAATGTAACATTGTTTCAATATGATAAATCTTTGCCTGTTTCAATATGATAAATCTTTGCCTACCATGAATTTTGTAAATGGCAGGCATATTTTCCTTCTGTTGTTTTATAAAAAAATACCTTCTTATTGATCACCCATTGTATCCATGTGCTCTAGTAATTAATTTAATAATTTTAAGATAAGCTTTCAATGGAAAAATAAAGTTAATTTTGAATCATTCTTAATCCTCTGCAGTTTTATAATGCTAATTTTTGAGTCTCTGATTTTTCTATTTTAGCTTGGAATGTGATATACACGTAAGCACATTTTCACTAGTGTCATGCATCTTCCATTATTTTATGACATCAAAGGTAACATATTTATGTCAGATATGGAACTGTTAGCAATTTTTACTAAATGACTAATAATTTCCAAAAAGCAGATGATAATTCATATGGTATATTTCTGCTTAAAACAAAAAATTACGACAGAAAACCATCATTGTCTGCCAAAACGCCTCAACAAAACTTTCTAGTGTCCAAATGATTATGTGAGTTACTGATGAACACTTTTTGAATAAATTATTTTATCACAAGGAATGGTTTGATCCTATTTATTTTGCAACTAGCCACATTTGAAATAGAGACAAAATAATATATTAGGAAAAAAAAATGAAGTCTTATGTTTCAATATTTGCTTTAAGATCTGTGTAAATATATTAAAAAAATACAAGCATCCAAAAAACAAATGGTAGCCACTGTAATTAAAGTTCTTCATTAAAAAAATTGATGCTTTCATGGAGGTTTTTTTATAAAATTTAGCAATTCTAATTCTTTTATTAACTCGTTATTTCATTTTGAACACTGTAGTTTACTACAGTCAAAAGTCGTTAATCCGGACTCATCGGGACTTCGGCGATTCCGGATTATAGATCATTGTAAATTTAAGATGGCAGCAGAAATTCTAAAAATAAATTGAAATGTAATTTTGAAAATAAAGAACATGATCTAAAGGTATCAAAAAAAAAAAATAAAAAAAAAGGCTTAATATTTAGTTGTTATTTATAAACATTTCTTTCATGAAATGTTTAAGTCTTCATTTATGTGATCATACTTCTCTTTATTCTAAAACAGACATAATTTCGTGTTCTTTCCCAGTTCTGCGTTCAAGTCCCGTTATTGCTGTGCGAGAATACCGAATAACTTGTCAATCGAATTTTTTCGTTTTCACCAACCTCTCTGTCAATTCTTCTTCCTTATCCTTTTTTTTGCACATACACTTTTTGGTTTGTTGACATCGAAACATACTTTCGTTTGTAGATCCTTTGAAAGTTCCAGCATCGGCTTCTATTTGACATAATGCAAAAAATACTAAGCGGATCCAATTCAAAGATTAAGGAACAACCAATCATTAATTAACTGAAATAGATAATTAGATAATTTTGCTTACACACCGTCCGTTATACATAAAGTGCAGGCGAAACTTCTGCACTTGCGCACACGCATATGCGCATAGTCATGGTCTTCGCGCACGCTAAAACGCCTATGCTATGCGCAGAAGTTTTTAGCTTGAGGTCCGAATTAACGACTTTTGACTGTATTACTAATAGAACTTTTCAGCAAGTACTTAGCTTCCTTGCAATTTTTGTAATCAAGCATGTTTTATATACAAGCTTTCAAATGTTATTAAATTAGCATTGGTAAAATAAACTTTCTTAATGTTGATGATTGAAAATTAAAAATGCATACCCAAATTGATCATAAAATCTTTCATAGTTTTATTTTTGATTTCTCTCGAAAGTGCCAGCATATTTATTTTTTATTTCTTTAATAGAATGTACAAATATTAATTGGGTAACTCATGAAGGGGAGACAGCTCTTCTGCTTGTTTGTAAAAGGAGGCAAGGAACTGAAGCAAACGATGTTGTTTCTCTTCTTTTAAAATATAAAGCTGATCCTAATATAGTGGATAATGAAGAAGAAAGTCCTTTGTTAGCAGGTTTGTTTAACATGTCTAGTTTAACAAAGCATTATAACGAATAAGTATGATTATGCTTCATGAAATTATGCCTTTGTCTAGAGCTAAAGAAATCTATTTTATACTTAAAAGTAATAGCATTCAAAAATTTTTGATGGTATCCATGCATTGTAGTGAAATTTATTATTATTGTTCTAAATTCATTTCTAAATTACTACCATGAAATAGATTTCTAATTAGAATCTTTTTGAGAGGAAGGGGGATTTTATGAAAACATGTCATGTTGTCAGCATTTTAAATGTTTGATATATTTTCTGAAATAATTAAGTAGCAATTCTCAATAAAAAGATATGCGACTCATATTAACACCAGAAAAATTTATTATAAAGCAGTGTTTGAGGTTTATTCATAATCCTTAATGTTGATGTTATTTTGATAGTAAGCTTTTTTTATTACTACTATTATTATCATCATTCTAGTAAAAAAATAGGATTTCAGTTTCATCACAATTAAAGCTTTAAAACCAGAGTGACTTTTGTTACTTTTCTTTTGCAATCAAATAGGAATATCTTTATTTAATACTTCCTGTAATAATTCATATATGCAAAAATAACTGTAATGGAGGATTTAATAATGCTACTTTTATCATTTAGCTTAAATTAAAAAATTAATATTGCCTTGAAGGTGAATTATTCGCTTCACTTTGCCTTTTGATTTTTGGTTTTAATACATGAAAAGAAACTTAATGGATTTCATTAATATTTAGAGTAATGATTTTTTGTCCCAGAGCAGTCAGTCATCTTTAATTAGAAAACATTTTTAGGTAATGTTTGCACCTTAAATTCCTTTACCAGTTCGCTGAAGAAATTTTTATTTTCTTCTTTGAGATTCAGATTCAAATTTCAAAATACATAAATCAAAGTTTCATCCTAAATCTTTTTAGTCTCAATTTTTATCACTTGTAACTTCGTAAGTAAATATGATTGATGACTATTTGTAGTTATTTTTTTAAATCAATACTTTTCTGTTATGCAACTGCCACACGTTTTGGTAGTACCTGTTGTAATACTATGTGTGTATGTGTTTAATCATTCTTTTTTACATGGACACACATATAGTCCCCAGATGATGCTATCATTGGATCTTGGCATATGTTTAGCTTCTCTCTCACAGGGGAACATGGCAGATGCATAATGGAAAAGAACTTTAAAATCTAAATGCTTGGTGTAAATGGAATGAATTTCCCTTAAAAGTTATGCAGTAATAGCATGCCTTTGATGGATTGTTAATCATTATATGCTTGGATAAACTAAATAACCAACCATTTTCTTAATAGTTAATACTTCTGTAAATTAAAATTATTTAGGATGGTTGTAGATTTATTATGTAAATTGATATTTTACAGCTGTATGTATTTTGTTGGCTAAGTGTGACTTGTTAATGTTTTTCTTTAAAATCATTATAGTGTATCTTCAAAATTTTCCAATTTTTAGACTCGTAACTTGCCGATAAGGCAAAGTCTTATAATAAAGTATTGAAATAATAAATTGATTATCATTATTTTCTATTGATTTTATAAATGGAATTTTTTTTAATATTATGTTGCTTATCCATTCTTCAGTATGGTGCAATATATTTCACTCATTAATTACTTTGAGAAAAATGCCATCCATTAATTTATTTTGTAGCATTTCTTAACTAAACTCTAGGTGTGCCTCTTTGCTCTCATTTCATTATAAAGTGCATAATTATCTTCTGTGTTAACATTTCTAAATTATTTTAACTTGGGAAAAGATTATTATGCATTGCATGAATCGAGTACTTGTACTTTCATTAGGATAAATTCAGTGTCAGTCCAAGATTTTATTGCTAAAATAAAAAAGGAATGTAAGCTAATTACTTTAGGAAATGTGCATTTTATAGTTAGCTTTCTCTGATTGTAATTGTAATAAATTATCCGTTAACAAAACAGTTAAGAAATGAAATCAAAATTGAGACTAAAATAAATAATAAAATAAAAATAAAAGCAGCTAGAGAACTTGATTTGTACCAAGTTCTATTCAAGGAGGTATCCAAATAAAAGATAACAAATAAAAAGAAACAGAGAGGCAAGATATGAGAATGTTCAGAACATGAATGGGAATAGTACTTATTGTAGTTTCAGAAATCAATAGCTGTAGAATATGGCCGTAACATAAAATCAGTGAATATAATTTTTTTAAACTAAACTTTGATGCTTCGAAAGATGGAGGATATTTGTGCCGAAGAAAATAGATTATGGGTGATAAGAGTAATGTTTTTAAAAGGACAGACTCTTCATGTGAAGGTTTTGGCAAATTTATGCTACGTGTTTCTCAAAATCTTCAATATCAGACAACAGATTCATTCATTCTTTTTCACTTTTAATAATTAAGTATGGCAAAGTGTTAATAATTGATTTATGTGCCACATAAATAATATTTTAAATCACTATTGAAGCATCAGAAGGTTATCACTAAAACAAAATATAGGTTTATATTATATAATTTTTGTTCTTTTTATTTGTAGAGGAAATAAAGTACATATATAGAATTCTGACCTCTTTCTAATTTGCTTTCTTGCTTAATTTGTGCTAATTTTCTCAGTTATTCTTCTCTATACTTTTTCCTCCAGAAAACAAAAGCTGAATCATTAAAGCTATTGTTGTATATAAAATTGTTGATTACAAATTAATTAAAGATTGAGACTGATACTGCTAAAGTAACTGATACTGGTAATTTTTCCTGGGGAACTTTGCTGGCTAGATAAGTCTTTCCAACATTCATTGCCATGTTTTGTGTTTATCACTGTTATTTTTCCACCACATTCTTATTCCACGCATTATGATTCATTCATCATTGATGTATAATTGAATTCCATGGAAATTAGCATGACCATGTTTGATTAGTGATATTCTGTTATCTTGGAAACATATAACTTTTTTAAAAAATATTTTATTATTATTACTTATTTACAAATCCTAAATGCTCATAATTAAGAAACAAAAACTGCAAAAATCGAAGCAAACAGAGTACATTTAGATAACGAAAGATGGGTGATTTTAATGGTAGTGCAAGTATTTATTGTAAGGTTGCAAAAAGCATCTGTATGTTTTTATGTTAATACATAAATTCCTAGGCATAGATTTATGAAGTGGTAGGCTTACATCAGCTATATTCATTTTAAGGTATAGGCTATGTTTGTTTACATTTATTTTTGGTTATTGGGGAATCACTTTGGATTATGACTTGTACAATCCCATTAATATGCCTTTTTAAATTCCAGTAACTGAAATATATTAATTAATTTTAAAAATAATAATTGGCTATAGAAAATATTTTTTGTTTCTATAGCTGTTCGAAATGAAAACATTAATGTGGTTGAACAACTTATTTCTGCTGGAGCTGATGTAAATGCTACTGATTGCAGTAGATGGTCTCCGTTACATGAAGCTGCAACAAAGAAAAATCCTGTACTGGTGCAGGCTTTGTTAAGGAAGGGTGCTAGTATTGATATACAAGATGAGTGTGGAATGACTCCTATATTCACTGCTGCACAACATGGTTGTGAACTATGTTTGGAAATGCTTCTGACTGCTGCAAAAGAGAGAGGTAAAAAAGTCCCTGTTTTATATTATTAGTCTGTTATATATATATCCAGATGAAATGCAATGGATTCAAAATAATGGAATTATATTTCAGTAAATATTTATTATATATAATTTTGGTATGCATAGTGCCAGGGGATTAAAAAAAAGATGGGATGATGTTGGTATGTTGCAATGATGACAAGACACTATGCAGTAACTGATGTTGGTTGCGTTTGTTAATATCGCATATTTTTTACTGCATATAGAATAAAAATACAACTGATATAAATCTATGAGAAGTTCTGTTACAATACATAACAACATTGAAACATAAGTTGTTCTCCTCATTATGTGAGGATTTGCCAGTAGCAAGAATGCCTCTAGTCGAGAGTTAAAGAGCATTCCGAGTTCTTACCTTGTCTAAAGCAATTTGCAGACTGAATTAATCATGGCTTATTCATTTTTTGAGTTATATTTTACATCCTCTGATTCGTTATAGTTGAAACAGTGTGAGAGCAGCAGCAGGATCATTGGTCCGTCAGCCTTCAGTGGTAGACACAGTATAGATCAATAAAATCCCTTGACACTGGCTATTGTGATTCTTTTAATGTCAAGTTGAGCCATAACTGAATGAATTATTGCTTCTGCAATGTCAGATCTCGCAACACAAGATCTACACCTTGTAGTAGCTCGAACACTGTGATTTGGTGTGTGTGTGGGGGGGGGGTTACCACACATATGAATTTCTTATCTTTGTGTGGTTTGCCATAAACTTTTAAATTCTTTCTCACATATGTTCACATAATTAAATTTAATGGTGTCTGTTCATATGAATGCATTGCCTAGTGATCACAGGTAAGCTTGCTTATTCATGTTTGAAGAAAAGGCTACATGAATATTGTAGTACTCCATCTAAAGTTGTTAATGTTAAGATGTTAGAATAATGTTACTTGAATGCATTTTGTAAGATAACCTGAACATGGAAAAGCCATAGATGTTTCAAAGAACTTCTTTGCTCCATAGATTTGATGCCACTAACCCCCCCCTGTTGTGAGATTTCATAAAAAAGAATAACCATAAAAATGAGTTTTACTTTAAGCACTTAATATAATAGATGCCATGAGGAAATCTGACATGCACTATGGTTCAAGATTTACTACTGTCTAGGTATTTATCTTGCTGCATACAAGATACTTAGATAGATCATTGAGATAAATATAGTAGTAAGAAAGGAAATTTTGATGGTTCTCCAAATACGATTTTCAGAAACAAAATTGTCTGTAATATATATCTTCCAAGATATAATTTCATATTTTGTGCATGCTTTAACTAGATACATTATTTTAATGTATTATTTTGATTAACATGTTGTAACATACTATATGCATTACTTTAATTAATATGTTATAAAATTAGTCCGGTTTTTTTATTGCCTTAAATTCCTGATGTGGGGTGCAAATAATTAATTTTTAAGAAACATGATACAGTCAAAAGTCTTTAATCCAGACTCGTCGGGACTTCGGCAATTCCGGATTATAGATCACCAATTTATATCTGGTAAGATGGCTTGAAATTTTAATTAAAATAGAAACTGAATTTATGAAATAAAGACAATTATAATCTTATTGGCATGGTGGTTTATGTGCTTGGTGTATATTCTTGAATTGACAGACTCCTTTTCCTAAACATAACCTTTATTCACACACCCATAACTTTAAATCCACTGAAATACCGAATGAAATACAAAATTTACTAAACTAAAATGCAACATCTATTCTCAGCTAAGAAGTAGCTAGTTCACTGCCGCGCTAGAATTGTTTACATAACCACATGACGTGGATTGGCTCGCACGCAGTCGAACATTAGATGCCACAGAGTATCCCCCAGTGACACAGTCATGACACAAAGGGTTGGCTGTGAATTTCCAATTTAAGATATGCACATTTCAAATACAGTTATACTTTAAAATTGTACGTAAAAAAAGAAATGCATATGAATAGTAATAATACATTTACAATTCTGATTGGAATATATACCCATACAATGCATAACTTAGTTAAACAAAAATAATGAAAAGTTAATAAGTATTTTATGTAACTCTCAATACGTATGGGGGAAAAAATCAAATATATATACACTGTAACATTTGCAGCAAACCACAAGAGAAAACTTTAATCATATTACAGTAATTAGTTTTTAGGAAAATGAACACGATGTCCACTTTGGGTAACTACTTGTTTTGGAACAATTTTTGAGTCTTTGCAGACTTCCTGCGGAAAGTGAGGAATTACAGGTGAATTTATACATTCTAACAACATATATGTTGGTTTCAAACGATCGACTGTAACTGTAATCATTTTGTTATTTACCTCAGTAATAAAAATTTTATCCATTCGTTTAACCACAGTATGAGGACCAGTGTAAGGAGTTAGAGGTGGTTTAACAGAATCGATACGCAGACATACTGAGAACAGGTTTGAAGGGGCTGGATGTACATAAATTGGTGATTGAATATGCCTAGAGGTTGGAAGAGGTCTAACTAAATGCATGACTGATCGAAGTTGTGACACATAAGATTCAGTAGGCGATACAATATTTGTAGCATTCATCGTATCTGACAGTAATCTAAGTGTAGTACCGTAGACAAGTTCAGCGTAAGTAGCATTTATATCTTTCTTAATGGCAGATCTAATACCCAACAGAATAGGCAGAATTTCAGAGTCCTGAATTTGTGCTTCGGATAATTTTTTATAATCAATATATTGATTATCAGATACTGCATATATTTCTACCCTAGATAAGGCATCAGCAACGATATTGTCATGGCCTTTGATGTATCATATGTCAGTGGAAAGTTTGCCAATAAAATCAAGATAACGAAGTTGTCGTGGAGAACACTTTTCGGGCTTCTGAATGTAAACAAAAAATACTCCATCTGGAGACTGAAGCTTTGAAGCAGTGCTTCACTCTTAGTCCCGAGCTGGCCACTCCTTCCTTTCTTACCTCCATGGGCAAACAGGAGGGAATACTAAGTCTTCAGTTGCCAATGGATGTTGAAAACCCTAGCCGTGCGTCTGCCCCCCCCCAAAAAAAAAGAATGTTAAATTTTCTATATATGATGAAAACAAATATAAAAAAGGCATACATGAAATAATGGTGCATTTCTAAAATTAATTTTAAGAATTTATTTCTTATCTAATTTGGGCAAAATATACAGCACTATTAGTTGTAGAAGATACTAGTTGTGCTAAAAAACCAGGTAATAAAACTTCTTTGAAATGTGTTAAATGTGATAAGATTATTAGAAAAATATTCTGAAAGCATTTCTGAACTTTTTGTGACATATGAACTGTGCTGAGTGTTTTCATATGTGTATCTCCAATAATAAAATTGAAATAACAGTTTCTGTGAGTATGGTATATTTTCAATTTTTTAGTATCTATAACTAATTAAGTTGTAATTTTTTAAATTTATATGTTATATTGCTATAAAAATTTTGTAGTGCTTTGGCTAAATTATCAAAGGCATAATATGAATGGACCATTTTTGGTGTGCATTACAAATTCTTAATAACTTTTTGAGAAACTTTATAGAGTTAATTGTTAACTTATGAACAATATTAAAAAATTTTTATGCTTTTATGTAAAAACATTTTTTGGATATCTGAAGGATTTATTAATTTTACATTCTTCTTGTCTGTAATGCATAAGCCACAAAAATTGCAAAATATTGTGTATATAATTATTTGATTTTATGCATTCATTTTCTGTAAAGCAGTTCAAATATTGATCAATCTGGATGATTATATTTATTTTTGGTTGACATTTTATATTATTTCTCTAAAATGCATTTAATAATTATAATAATAACTTTGATTTTAATATGCCTTTTTAAAAAAATTCTTTTATGTGAAATTTAGTTACTCATGTATTCTTAATGTGTTAGGCCAGGAGGATGTTGTGAATGTTGGTGCTGAAGACTGGGCTACCCCTTTGATGATTGCTGCTCAGCAAGGATTTGAAAACTGTGTTAAAATTTTATTAGAGCATAATGCAAATTCTGACCTGAAAACATCAGACCATGCTACAGCCTTACACATGGCTGTGCAAGGAAATCACAAATTGTAAGATTTCTAGCTACTTATAAGCTCTAAACTGCAGCTTTGCATTTGAATGAATGCAAGTAAATAAATATTTTAGTTGTGGATGAAACTTATTAAATAAATGTATGAAATAAAATATGTGGTACATATATGTAAATCCCTTACAATTAACTTCATTTCTATTCTTTCTCAATTTCCGCTGAATCTTTTCTTAGTAATAGTACTAATGAGGCAAGCCCATTACGTTTGACTGATTGATTTTGCCCAAAATTTTATAAATCTAGAAATCTTAAAAGCAATGCATATACAAAAGTCTAGTGCTCATTTCTCAGAAGTAAGCTAAAAGAAAAAAAAAGAAAGAGTCAAGGTAAGAAAGAGTTTTAGGTAGCATTTCAGCATGATTAAAAACTTACAGAACAAACTTTAGGGCAGTGTTTCCCAAACTTTTCTCAATGCGGAACACATTTTGGATTCTAAAAGTTTTGAGGAACTCTTGAGTAAATTCGGATGTTTAAGTGTAATGGATTATAACACATATATATTAGACATATATATTAGATAAATAAAATATGTGTTTATTCCAATTTTTATATCATATCAAAAAACATTATCAATTTTTAACTTTAAAGAACAACTCATAAACCTAACTAAATGAAGCAAATAATGTAAAAAAGTGAAAAAATTTCAAGTTTTCAGTGACTTTATTGTGTTTGAGTCTTTGAAATTCTTTTAATGTCAGTGTTAGAAACCTGAACTCTTATATCAGATGCAGCATCAAATCAGTTTCTATATTTGGATTTTGTTGACCGTAATGTGAAAAACTTTCATCATACAAATCTGTTGTCACAAAAAGAAGTATAATATGAGTATCTCGTTTTATATTCTGTCAAAATTTGCATATGTTCTTTAAATCTTTATGGAGGAATCAGTTGTCAAGCCAATTAAATTTTTTAAATCAGCTGCATTCATATCTTGGCTGTCATTGAGAAAAGATTTTGTGTCCAAGAATTGTCTTCTTGGGACTGTGGGAAATATTAAATAAGCATTAACTGCAAGTCATGCAAATGTAATATTTCTTTGTAAATTTTGGTGTAATTTTTTAAACTTTCTCTATTTAAAATACTACCCAAGGCAGAGGAAACAAACAAACTCATTCTCAGAAATACTGAATATTGCAGTATAGCTTCATCACAGAAGAAAAACTAAAATATTAATTTTTTAAATGAATGGGGTTTTAATGATAAACATATTACACTTATATTAATAAATAAAAATCTTGTATTTAATTATCAATTTTTAAACGAAAATAAAATTAAAAAAAGCAAAACATCCAAAGAAAATTAACACTTTTAAAGTGCTTAAAGTACTGAAATGCTAACAGAAATGCTTTCTGCATGTATTTCATAACATCGCATGGTACCAAATGGCTTGGTATCATGCTATATTACTAAATTTATTATGCATGTGATTTAAACCACATTGGTTTATTTTTTGTATTAAATTTATTTTAAGAATTGTTTTAAATTGTGTTCAGTACATAAAAGCAAGTCTGGCAAAAAAAAAAAAAAAAAAATTCGTTGCATTTCTTAGATATCTGTAGCAGCAATTGAAAGTCTGAGAAACAGTTCCTCATCAAAATTAACAACAATTATGTGTATTATGCATTTAAGATGCTCTAATGAGAAAACTTAAAGTAGACAGATCTGATAATTATGGGGGCCATGCGAAAAGTCTACCTCGACCAATCCATTGGCCTGCATATAGGACATTCAAGTAACCATGCACAAGTGCTGGAATAAGCTAGTGTTCCATTATAGTGATAATACATTTCTTCGCAGATAGTTTCATAGTCCATCAATTTCAAACAAGACTTATTGAAGGAGATATGTTCTGGTAAAAAGGTAGCCATAAGTGATGGGAATTATTATTGATGCATACCTTCACACTTTGAGCATTAAGTGTACCTTTTCAGGTGAACATGGCCTTGTGTATGAGCAACATGTGCTGGAAATTCCAGTTCCATAGTAGTCTTCTTCAAGAACTAGCATGCTTTCAGTGCATGCAGAAAAATCAACAGCTCTGAAAATTTGCATTTTCTAGAGATAATACTGATTCAATCATTCAGTGCAGGAAATATGCCATACTATATCGGTTCCACCAGTTCGAAGTCTAAAACTCCCACGTTGATGTCAGGATCATTTTCTATATAATCTAGAATTGCTTTCAAAGTGTTCAACACTCTGTATGGTAGAAGTGTGAAACTTTTTTTTTTTTTTTTTTTTTTTGCAAATAATGGTGCAGTCAATAAAATATTGAGTGATCAGGCACTTGCCTCTTGGGAAAGTGCTCGATAAAGTAAAAGTAAAGTTTTAGCTTTCTAAAGTAAAATTTTGGACTTTTCTCCCACAGCTGGGAAGATTACAGACAAAGTACATATCTGCCTTCTTCTCATTTGCATGTAAATTTACCCGAAGTTGTTAATGATGTTGCATGTGAAAAGCATCTGTTTTATGCATATATCTAAAAACAACTGCCAGTAATTATCTTAAAGTGTAATCGTCCATTATGTGTTAGAAAGGTGTTACTTCAATAACACCAGTCATCCTTTAAATATTTAATAAATAAGTTATTCAAATATAAAAATATGTTATCAGATATTTTTTTGTATTATTGATCAAATGTCAAAGTCTTGATGACTAATATGGACATATTTGAAAAACCAAAATACTATTGCATGTAACTGTTTACAGTCAAAAGTCGTTAATTCGGACACCCATAATTCGGAATGATCTATAATCCGGACATCAAAACTAAAAACTTTCTGCGCATGCGCCACGTTTATTCTTGAGAATTTTTCCAGTTTAAAATAATATTTCTGTACATCTTGTTGAAATATTTTTACTATAATATAATAGAAACCTAAATAACTAATACTTAAAATACTGACTCAAATTTATTCCAATAATTCGTCACATTAATTAAATTTATGTTTCTTAGAGATGTTATGTAAAAAAACGTTTCTAAGAACAATATATATTTACATTTTTCTTTAAAAGGTGTTTAGAAATATTATTAGAAAAAATGGACTTGGCTACCATGATTAAATGTTTCCATCCATTAACCTACATCAATTCAGATATGATATGCCCTTTGCACTTAGCTGTTGAATGGGGAAGGTATGTTCTGAACAAATTTCTTTTAGTTTAGATAATCATTTTTTGTATAAATGCTTTCTTATGCATTTAGTTTTTGTTTACTAATATTTAAATTTCTAATAATTTTTTTTTAAATGTGAATTATTTTTCTCCTTAAAAGCCATGAATCTTTGAAATCACTATTAGCTGCTGGATTTTCGCCCGACAGTTTATATGACTGTGTTGGACTTTCCATTCCTAATTATATACCATTCTTACCTGACCATGAAACAGCATTATCATATGCTGTTTATAAAAGAGATGAAATTTCTTTGGCTATATTGTTATCTGCTGGGGCAAGCAGTAATCCTCCTGTAAAAGATGCTCTTCATCCACTTCTCCGAGGTATATTTAAATTTTTTATTCTAAAAATATCTTATAATTTTATGTATGCAAATATATTTCAGTGTTGTTGATTATTAGTCATACATTAAAAAAATAATGACTGAAAAATAAGTATCTCAGGAGTTTAATTTGTTTCCAGCATATTAATTCCCACAGTAACTTTAGCACTGATCTCAGTAACTGGAACTTCCGTCCTTTTTTTATTTTGAAATGTAAACTCCTTAAAGACAGGAGTTCTAGTGTGTAATGTAAAAATCTGTCTGATTACCAAAATTTGACTGACATTAACTACATATTCAAATGACATTAAATAAAAATATGTAATGTGTGTTGTAAATTTGATCTTATTTCAAATCAATTTCCTACTGTCATTCTTGCCTTCAGCATTCAATATTGCACTTTTTCTTTTAGGCCAAAGGGGCAATTTGCCCAGAAGGGCTATTAATTTCGTTTTGGGATTTTGCATTGATTCACTACAAACGGGGAATAACATTTAAATTGTTGCCACCAAATATTAGAGCCCTGTATTATAGTATTTAAAAAAATTAAATCATGAAGAATCTGCATGAATGTGTGTATGTTTTTCACACTGTGAAAAAACAATGATACGTAGAGACACCAAATTTTGAAAACTTAATAAATCTACTCTAATATGGGCATCTGGAAACCTGAATTTGGAATTTGTTTTATTATCTATTTCATCTTTTTTGAAACTTTAATGAATTTTTTTATTAGTAAACTCAGCGATTTCAAAGCGAGCAATGGCAACACTTCATGGGGAAAAAAAAAACATTTTTATTTCCAGCATGAGACTGTGTATCAGAAATTCTAAAGGTATGCTCTTTTTAAATTATTTTGTTTTATTGCTAGTGAATTGAATTTTATGGTTTAAGTGCAAAGAACATGATATTTAATAAATAAAGCTAACACACACATTCATACATAATTCACATTCCCAGTAAATGTATAGATGTAAAAACTCTACATATATTTCCAAAGTATTCTTTAAAAAAAAAAAAAAAAAAAAAAAAAAAAAAAAAAAAAAAAACAGAGGAGTAATTTGCCCAGAAGGGCTATTAATTTCATTTTGGCATTTTGCATCATCCACTATAAAACAGTATTTCATCCTTCAAATTGTTACCACCAAATATTACAGCCCTGCATTCTATTTAAAGAAATTAAATCATGAAGAATCTGTGTATGTTTCTCACATTATGAAAAAACAACCAAATTTTGAATAATGTAGTCCTCCACTCCAATATGGACATCTGGAAGCCCAAATTTAGAACTTGTTTTATTATCTATTTCATATTTTGTAAAACTTTTATGAATATTTGATTAACAAACTTAAGTGAGCAATAGCAACGCTGTGGGGGGCATTTTTATCTCCAGCGTACAAGACTGTGTATCGGAAATTCTAAAGATATGCTCTTTTTAAATATTTTGTGATATTGCTGTTGAATTGAATTTTATTGTTTAAGTGTAAAGAACATGATGTTTAATAAATAAAAGGAACACACAAAATGTTAAAAAAATGCCCCTTTGGGCGTAACATAAAATCTGAAAGCTTTCAGATTTTTTACGGTACTTACTGATTATTTGTACCAAAAAGTTGCAACTTTTTGGTGACTAATGCCAAGCCAATGCAGAAAAGAGAATAATCATTTGTATACTAAGAGTTCCTTCTGAGAGCAATCAGTCAGTAAATAATAAGCAAGCAAGGAACATCAACAGCAAACCTTTTTCAAGAAATCCTTTTTTTTTTTTTGCACTGTTTTGCTGCTTGACATATACAGCAATCTGTTTTTACTTAGCTAAAAATCAAAGAAATGCACCAACTCAGCATGCTTTTTGGAACAAACTTCAGCATTGCTCGCCGGCCAAAATAAACACATGCTATGCACGTTCCTGGTTTACCATATGAATATTTTTAGTGATATCAGTGGGTTTCTGCGTAACTATTTTGGCAGCATGTTTCTTTGCATGGTGAATACTTTTTTGTGACTTTTCTATGTAGATATAGATAATCGGGAAGAACTTTTTCCCCTTCTAATTTTGCTATCATGCATTGTTTCACTTTTATTTGTTTTGTAAAATAACTTTTATTTTATATGTCTTTCATTCAAATTTTAAATTTCTAATTATATGTTTTGATGTTATATTACTATTCAAATAAATTCATTTGATTTTATTCTCTAAATTTAACAAAACAGTGTTTTTCTTTGTTTAAAGATAATTTTGGTCTTTAGTCTATTTGAGGCCAATCTGTAATTTCCATGCATAAGTTAAAAAATATTTGATTATCAAAAATGTCAGTTTTAGAGGGGGGGAAAGTAATTGTAGAATAAGAAAAGCTAAAAGATGGTTTTAGTAGGGATATAATCACCTCAAATTGAGATTCATGTTTTGCACTACTTTGTTAATGTATACTGGACTTTATTTATAAGTTCTTGCAATAACATTAAGAATTTTTCTGTTAGTGCGATTTTTTAAAAAAATTATTGAATATTTTCAAGTGTGAAAACATATGTGTGTCAAGGTTAGTAGTTTTGTTAGAGAAAACAAGAGCATCTGTCTCCGGTTGCATCATTCAGGGAGTGCCAAATTGAGGTTTCAAATATTTTTAGAATGAAATGCATTTTCCATTCTTAGCTAACAGGACGGAGCACAAAATCTTTTGTGCCCGGGCACTGAAAACTCTAGCTACAATTTTGCTGAAGGTCTGGGAATATGTTCAGTGTTATTAAATATGTTCAGTGGAATTTAGACCATAGGAATTTGCAAGCTTGTCTGTTAAAGCAGTGTCCACATTTTCCTACAGCTTATCAGCAATTGAAATCGTGTGATTGTCCATAAAATAATCTTGACATCTTGGGATTATTGCATATAGTTTAGATAGGATAGTTCTGCTATTGTAGTGTTCACTGGTTGCAATACTGGCTTTGTTGTGCATTCATCTAGCATAATTTCTCTCTGAATGAAAATATCTCAGCTACCATAATGATCCATATCAATGCATGCTGTGTGATATCATGTGCTAAACTTTACATAAATTATTTATTGTTTAGAATCTCTGTTGAGGCTTAATCTGCTCTTACTGATCCAATTCTGGTGTTGTGAGTCATTGTACTCATTACTTCATTATAAGTTGTGATGAAGATCAGACAGAACATTTAAAACATTAATTACATGCCCCAGAAATTGCTGCAAAATGTGTAAACACCTTCTGCATTCGTCCAGTGAAATAAATTTATCTTCATCTTCTATTAAATATAATAAAACTGTTCTAATTTATCATCAAAATCAAAATTTTTAATATTTATATGAATGTTGTATTTAATTATCTATTTTTAGTAGAATTAAAATTGTTGTATTTACCCGTGCAATGCAGGGACATCTGTTAAAGGGATATCCACTGGGCAGACTGTCTATATGAATAAATGTCTGGCCATGATTATGATCTTTATCATTCGCTGTTCAAATACAACTGATCCACAGTGGTTTCTACTATCAATTTCTCATAGCCTATGGTTTTGTAAAATGATCATTTCTGGGTGAAGCTATTCATGAGCAAGTACTACTGAGTTTTTAAAAAATATTTATGCTGTTTTAAAAGCCAGATACATTTCTGACATATGTTAAGGGCAATATCAGACATGTCGGCCACACTAATTTGAACTACATTTTTCCACTAACTTCTTAATTACATTATCTTTTATGAAGACAATTTTTTGGCCGTATCGTCAAAGCCAGCATTGATTTCGTTGCAATAAGTTTCAGCTACAAGTTATGAAACTTATTGTAATGGAATCAATGCAGCAAAATCTGCAGCAGAATGTGGTTTTTGCCTTACCAGTGGCAAAAAATGGTTGAAACTGGTAACAATTGACAGAAATTGATAAAAACACATAAAACATTGTACTAATTACCAATGCTAATTATGCATATTTTTAAGATTTTCCTTTCAGTTAGTACTCTTTTATAAAATTGTTTTTATAAATAAAAAATTATATGGATTTTAATTTATGTATATGTATATATAAGATTAAAAATTAAAATAAATAAACAAAAAAAAATTGATCCTTATTTGCTTATTTGAATGCACTAGTCAGATAAAATGTGTATTGAAGATAGTGAACCATTACTATTTTCTCTTCAGAGTGCATTTTGCATGCTGCAGAGGTATTTCATTTTGAGGGAGTAATTTTGTCAAAAAGGAAGACTGAATGTAATTTTCTGACATCTTAGAATGTTGTTACATCTAATTGAAAGGATGTTAGACCAGTAGTGGGGTTCCTATGTGCTGAAGGTAGCTGATAAGAAGATTTTAGTAGTTTGTATCAAGTGCAAGAAGATTGGTAGTGCTAAATGCTACAGAATGAAAGAACACCATAAAAATGAAATGATGACATTAATAGCAAGAATGAGCAGCAGGTACCTTTCGACAAAGGAAATTCAATACAGTCAAAAGTCGTTAATCCGGACTCGTTGGGACTTCAGCGATTCCGGTTTATCGATTTTTCCGGATTATAGATCATGAGTTTAAATCTCGTAAGATGGCTTGCAGAAATTCTAAAATTAAAAATATGAAACCGTAATTTATGAAGTAAAGAACAATTATGATCTAAAGGGTATCAAAATTTACAAAAAAAAGCTTAATATTTATTTGTTTACTTTATTAAACATTTCTTTCAATGTAAGTTGTTTAAGTTGCTTCGTTTTATGGGATAATACTTTCTCTTTAATTCTATAAACGGACATAATTTCTTGTTCAGTTACAAAGTTTCGCTGTTCAAGTCCCGTAATTGCTGTGCCGAGAATACCGACTAACTTGTCAATAGAAATTTTTTCATTTTCACTAAGCTCTCTGTCACTTTCTTCATGTCTTTATCCATTTTTTGCAGCAATTCCACTTTTTGTTTGATGGACATCGAAACACACTTTCGTTTTGTAGATCCTTTGGGAGCTCCAGCATCGGAAATTCTATTTGACATAATTGAAGGTTCAAGTTTACTTTTATAAAATTGCTCTTACAGTCTGCAAAAAGCCGGATCCAATTCGAAGATTAAGGAACAACGCAATCATCAACATTAACTGAAATAGATAATTAGATAATGTTAGCTTATACCGTCCGTTATACATAAAACGTGCATGCGAAAACGTATTCTGTACTTGCGCGCATGCATATGCGTAGTCGTAAAGGTCTTACGCGCATGCATAAACGCCTATGCGCATGTGTCAATGCGACGCATGCACAGAAAGTTTTTAGCTTTGAGGTCCGGATTATAGATCATTCCAGATTATGGGTGTCTGAATTAACGACTGTTGACTGTACTTGTTTATTCATAGTTCAGTTCCATTTGCAAAGGAACCAAAACAAGTGAAAAGAAATTCCTAGGGGCGAGGGAAATATTTCAACACAGCGGCAAAATCATTAAAACAGTTTTAAAGGATAAAGTGACCTTCGATATGTTCTTTTACAGTTCTAATACACTAATATATATTATATTAATACCATCAATACAAAGTCTGAGAAAAAGATTGAAATTTGCTGTGTACAAGTAGCTGAAGCAGGAGTAACAGAAATGTAAATGGAACATAAGCATAAAGTAAAAGTTGTGAAACGTATAATTAGTATAAAATAGAATTGATGAGAAAGATAACTTTTGAAGATGTTTACTACTTTTGGATATTTTGTTTATTATCAAAATCTTATAATCACCTAACCTAACTATAGGTCACTAAGCCTAACTATAGTAGTCTATGTTTAATACTTATTTAATGTTGTTCATTTTTAAATAGGTACACATAATCTTACTTTTTTTTAATTGTTCAATGGGGCTATTAGTCTTAAAATGGGATTTTGTGTTGGCTGACTATATCACTTTTTGCCACTAAATATTATTGCCTTGTATTATTTTTAAAGAAGTTAAGCAATGAAGAATCTGCCTGTATGTATCTATGTTCTGGGCACTGTAAAAAAAATGACGGTACCTAGAGCCACCGAATTTTGAATAATTAAAAGAAAAACATTTTTATTGCTGATTTACTAAGAAAATTGAATATCAATGTGATAAACTGAGAAAAAACTGAAAAATATTAAAATGCATGCCAAGACTTAACACTGCATCAGGAATACTAAACATGTGCTTTTAAGTTTTTAAAAATTTTGTGATTTAGCTATGTGGTGTAACTGCAAAAAAAGCAATGCTCAGTAGTAAAGCTAAAAGGGGAGAAAGGCTTAATAGGGGTGAAAGCAGATTGATAGACTGTGAACTCGGCGAGAACATAAAAAAAAATCTTAACAAACGCTTTTAAATGTTTCAGATTTTAGGTGATTGTTAAAATCTGAAGCTTTCAGATTTTATTTCTTTGAATTATTATTATTATTATTATTTTCAAATTTTTTTAAAGAAATGTAATAAAAATCATTCCATCATATTGTATGAGTTCCTTTTCCTAATTTTTATATTTTATTGACATGGTGAATTCAACATATTCCCATGAACTATTTTTATAATTTGAAAACATTTCTTATGTATTGAACTTTCATGAATTTTTTAAATATTGTTCTTTCCTTTTATTGAAGCTATGAGCAACCCAACGATGCAAGAGTTTCATATTCTCATGGAAAGTGGTACAAATGTAAATTACAGAAGAGAGGGTGGTTCTTCGAATGAAGTCTTTCTTTACTGCCTTTTAACAAGTTCAGTGTATTTGCAGCCATTGTTGTTTCATGGATGTGATCCTAATATGTGTTTTGAAGATGATGGTGAACTTTTTATAAAATGTGCTGGACGATTTCTTAGAAAAGAAAAGATGCCATTGGCTGTTTTTTTAAAACTTATTCTGCGCTTTCTTATTGTTACGAAAGCAGTTCAAAATGCTTTGCATTAAATACATGGTTTCCAGAAGATGTAAAGGATATTTTAGATGAAATAGGTAAGTTTTTTCTAGTAGTGTTAATCTAACTCATAATTTACCATGATTTTAATGCAGCTTTATGTGTGGAAATGTTTAAAAAATTATAGTTTAAAAATATTAACAGAATTTAATTTATATGTTCCTAATTTTAAGTTTTAGTAAAAATTAAATGATATTTTTATTATTTAATTTTTAAAACATTTTGTCAAAGTTCCTACAGTACAAAAACCTCTTCAATTTTTTGTTTTTGTTTGAAAAGTGCATATAATGTATTGCTTTAGATTTATGACATTGTTGTAGAATTATTACTTTACTTTCTTTGAAGTTGTATTGTTGATTATGTTTATAATGTGATTGCTTATTTCTCTGTCAACATTTTTCTAAAATTATTATTAACTAGTTCGAGATAACATGCCTTTGTTTAAGATACTCCCTCAGGATGGATGAAAGTTGGAAGGCATCATCCCATAAGATGGGGTTTTGCATCATTAAACCTAACTATAGGGAGAAAAGGGAAAAAAAAAAAAAAAAAAAAAAAAAAAAGCTTAAGCCCTAACATCAAAATTTTTGGTACAATTTTATATTATTATTTAAACTAGCTTTAGATGTTTAAATTACCATTTAATAAACTTTTTCCATTAATTTGCATGAACTGTGTAAAAGAAATTGCTTCTTTGAGAAATATTTTTTGGGAGTGCTATTCAAATTATTATGAAGTTTTAATTGACAAAATACATTAATAAACTAGAGAGAGTAATAAAAAAATACAAGAAAGATACTTCACAAGAAGAAATAACAAACTTTTTCACAAGAAGTGAATGGCAGGCACTCATTTGCACTCAGTCTCTAACAAAATATCCATATTAGAATCACTATAAATATTGCTTTTTAACTTTTAAGAAAATAAATCATCACTCTCATCCATGTCACTGATTGGCTCATTTACAATGCAAATACAGTCAAAAGTCGTTAATTCGGACACCTATAATTCGGAATGATCTATAATCCGGACCTCAAAGCTAAAAACTTTCTGCGCATGCGCCGCGTTGACACATGCGCATAGGCGTTTACGCGTGCGCGTAAGACCTCTTATGACTGCGCATTTGCGTGTGCGCAAGCGCAGAATACGTTTTCGCGTGCGCGTTTTATGTATAACGGACGGTGTAAGCTAAAATTATCTAATTATCTATTTCAGTTAATGTTGATGATTGCGTTGTTCCTTAATTTTCGAATTGGATCCGGCTTATTATTTTTTGCAAACTGTAAGAGCAATACTATAAAAGTAAACTTGAACTTTCGATTATGTCAAATAGAATTTTGATTCTGGAGCTCCCAAAGGATCGTACAAAACGAAAGTATGTTTCGATGTCCATCAAACAAAAGTGGAATTGCTGCAAAAAATGGATAAAGACATGAAGAATGTGACAGAGAGTTTAGTGAAAACGAAAAAATTTCGATTGACAAGTTAGTCGGTATTCTCGGCACAGCAATTAACGGGACTTGAACAGTGGAACTTTGTAAGTGAACAAAAAATTATGTCTGTTTATAGAATTAAAGAGAAAGTATTATCACATAAAACAAAGCAACTTAAACAACTTACATTGAAAGAAATGTTTAATAAAGTAAACAAATAAATATTAAGCTTTTTTTTTGTAAATTTTGATACTCTTTAGATCATAATTGTTCTTTATTTCATAAATTACGGTTTCATATTTTTAATTTTAGAATTTCTGCATGCCATCTTACGCGATTTAAACTGATGATCTATAATCCGGAAAAATCGATAATCCGGAATCGCTCAAGTCCCGACGAGTCCGGATTAACGACTTTTGACTGTATCTCCTTCCTCTGATAAATAAGGCTTGCCTCGCCATAGTAAACTGAAGTAAGAGCTTTCCGAAATATAAGCTATAAAAGCAATGCAAAGCTTAACAGAACTCCACATAGTAACCCTGTATAATAGTGAAAAAAAGGATTTGAAAGGATGATAGAAACGTGAATGATTATATTACATGACGAGTTAAAGAGCTGGAATCTGTTTGTTTACATTACACTCTCCATCCTTTTCTGCAACAGTTGATACCAAAGTTAGGCAGAATGTAATTAAACTGAAGGTCAGGGTACTAAAACTATATTCAATTCAAAAGTTATGGACACAAGATGCTATCTAGTTGTCTTTAAGAAATGGTTCTGCTTAAAAGCACACATACATCGCCCATCCCTAAGCTTATTCTACAGTTTTTGTAGGTGGGACACCATGCTGTGAGAGATGATCATACAGAATGCATATATGGGAAGCCTGTCCCAAAAGGATTAATAATAATACAAAAATTTGTCACGTTTTCAGATTACATTTTTCGTTAGATTGAAATGAGCTGTTTATATGGTTGACTTTTGCAGGTTTAAATGCAGTTTTAAGCTGTCTTTCAATCAGCAGACATAGCTTTTCATCAGCAAAATTATATACCTTTTTAATTTAAACTGAGCTAAATGCATTTTTATACCTTTCATTGTAAATCAATCTTGAAATTAAAATGTAAGTACTTTATTAATATATGAGGAAGATATTTGCCTTCTAATTCATTTTCCAATAATTAATTATCTAATAAAAGACCATAGTAGAATTACTTTCCTAATGTGATTGAGTCCTACATGTACTTTCAAACATCCCTTAGCCATTAAAATACAGATATTACAATATTTCTGATGGTATTTTGTGATGTGTAGTTCAAAAACCTTGGGATGATTTTTTTTTTTTTTTTTCCTGGCTTAACACATTAAGGATAATTTTTAACGGCATGTATATTTTGTCTGTATGAATGTTATATATTCAATGAATACAAACTAATTATGGTCTAGAAACAAATCTGAATATTTGTTGTCTTAGGCATATTACATAGAACAATGGTTGCCGTAGCCTACTCCAAAGAGAGGTTAGATTTCTATTTTCCACACCCAATTTGGAGGGAGTGCGCCGGGAGGTTCCACCAATCCACACGAAAGGACTTTTGGCTCATCTTAGAGTGCCGTACACTGACACTATACATTTACAAACATCCATGTCTTCTCGGGGATTCAAACTCGGGCCCTTTGGTACCGTAGTAGGCTCCGTTAACCACTATACCATCTGGGGGACAAATATGAATATATTATTATGTTTTACAAATATACTGCATAACATTAGGATACATTTATGATATGCTAATCAAAAAATAGTAGTGGCCTTAAACATCAGCTAGGCTCAGTATGTTAACATATCCTACAGGTTATTGGAATGGTTTATTATTTGCTTTTGAAAGCCCAGGCAATGTTGAAACCTTTCCTTATATGCTATGAAATATTTTTCAATCTAGGCTACCTAATGAAAGAACGCATATCAAGAGCAGAATTTTATTGCCATTAAAAAATGTGTAATTTGTTTGTACTGATGCTTAGATAGTGATAGACATTTTGTGGAATCCAGTGTTTCCCAGAAGAAAGTACCTGTGATCTATGTTATTATTTGTATACATTTATTTGAATATTATAATATGTATGATGTGTCGTCCAAAGCGAGCACTTCAAAATGCCAAAGCTTAGGACACTTCCAACTTGAGCTTGTTTTTTGTATTATGATGCATTCTGGCTTTCCTGATTAGTATATGCCTGTTAATATGTCTTCATGCTGCAACAGGAATCACAAGCATTTTTCGTGTTTAGAAGTGTCTATAACTATATTGTCAGAAGGATTGAGTTTAATGAATTTTGTGATGTAGTATTCCATTTGTAAAATTTAAATTATAAATTGTTGTGCCACAGTTATTGGTAGCTTGTATCAGATAGGTTTTTTTTCAATTTTCCTTTAGATTATGGTCATTTACTAGGTCGCATCTTTCTAGTAATTCAGTGTTTTTTGTACCTCATATATACAGGTATACTTGTATTTGAAACACATGTATACAGGTATACCTGTATTTACCTTATATATACCTGTATTTGAAACACTGAAATTTTTTGTCACTATTGAACCATGCAACCCCACATAGATTCATATCTAAGCGAATTTATGAGATGCCAAGTCGACAAAAAAATGACTATTTTGTTGCTATTTTAAGTGCCATATGAGAATTTTGGCCTCTGGAATGGTAGACATAAGTTTTAGTGAATTTGTCAGACTAAAGCTTGAGCTTATTAGTCCCATGAGGCAATTTGCCCAGAAGGACTGTTAATTTCATTGTGGTATTTTGTGTTGATTCACTAAAAGCATTGTTTCACTTTTCAAATTGTCCTGTATTATATTTAAAGAAATTAAAGAATGCAGAATCTGCATAAATGTATGTATGTTTCTTGCATTGGGAACCCTGCGAATATGGGCATTTGGAAGCCCAAATTTGCAATTTGTTTTATTACCGATTTCATATTTTGTAAACCTTTAACGAATTTTTGATTAACAAACTCAAGGATTTCAAAGCAAGCAGTGGCAATATTGAATTGTACAGAAAAAATTTTTTATCTCGATTGCACGAGACTGTATATTGGAAATTCTAAAGATATGCTCATTTTACAATTATTTTGCGATATTGCTCCTGAACTGAATTTTACAGTTTAAGTGCGAAAAACATATTTTGTAAATAAAGATAACACACAAAACATTAAGAAAAAGCCCCTTTTGACGTAATTTAAAATCTGAAACCTTCCAGATTTTTTTATTTAAGTTTTATTTTCATACAATATCAGTACCTTCTATCCTCTGAATATCTAATTAAATAAAGAGCAGTGTGTTCAGATTTTCGTGAACAATTATAAGTTTGGGGAGACCTTTGCCAACTTTCATGGGTGATGGAGAAATACAGTACAAAGTCCAAAATCTGGATGTCCATTATCTGGAATGATCTAAAATTCGGACCTCAAAGCCACTAACATTTTTTTTTTTTTTTTTTATTAATGCTTTACGCATGCACATTTGATTTTTCCGTCCCTAATAAAACATGTGGAGATTTTCACTTAAAAATTCCGATTCTTAATTTCACTTAGGCATTAAATAAAATACCTCATTATGGAAAAGCAATCATGTAAGCATAAATTTGTGAGACTAATAATTTGGCTCCGTAGCTGAGTGTCTGCTTGGCATAGAATTCAAACCAAAACATTCACCAATTTTATACCCCTGGCTGACCTGACAAGTCATTATTTATTATATTTTGCCTTCAACACCGCATGTTTATCAATACATAACAGTTTCACTAATAACTCATGCAGTGATGTCTAACTCTTTTTTTATATTAGTAATTGAATAACAAAAATATGGCAACCTTTTGTGCTAACATTATGCTTGGTGCTGATTATAGATTTTTAAATGCTCTAAGAAATGTTGACGAGGAAAAATTCAACAAAATTTCTTTTTCATATGTAAAAATAGATTTTGTTATTGAAACTCATAGGCCAAAAGATTACATTTAGTGCTATTTTAATTAAGAATAACTGATATGTTATTCACCATAAATCCAGAAGCGGCCACAGAATATGTCGGCACCGGACGGCCAAATTTAGGGAAGACAAAATTTTTGGAATTTGGGAGGCAAAATTAAGGAATGAGAAATTTTTTATAATGTAAAAACTTTTCGTATTCTCAACACAGCCATTATAGGAACTTTGTAACTGAATGAAAAATTATGTCTGTTTATAGAATTAAAGAGAAAGTATTAGCACAAAAAGCGAAGCAACTTTAACAACTTGCATTGAAAGAAATGTTTAATAAAGTAAACAAATAAATATTAAGTTTTTTTTTTTTTTTTTGTAAATTTTGATATCCTTTAGATCATAATTGCTCTTTATTTTATAAATTATGATTTCATATTTTTAATTGTATAATTTCTGCATACTATCTTACCAGATTTAAATTGATGATCTAATATCTGGAAAAATCCCAAATCCGAAATCGCAGAAGTCCCGACGAGTCCGGATTTTGAACTCTGTACTGTATGTAAATCCCAAAAATTAATTTGATGTTTCTTTTTACAATTTTTAAGTAAGTCTAGCTTAGATGTTACACGGAATCTAGTACATAATGTTATTTCTAAGCCAAGCAGCCAAGCCAAGTTCCCTTATGTTTTTAAAACAAAGTATTCTGTAATATATATATATATTTTAGATGATTAATACATTATAAACCTTTTGCAAAACTTTGCCTTCTTGCATGAGTGGAATTTTTATCGTAGTTTTAAACAAAATTAGGTTTGTACTCCACTCTACAGTTTTTTTTTCGGGGGGGGGGGGCAGCCATAGTTAGTTTGAATTTTATTTTATGAAATTATTTGATGCCATCAATAATATTTCTGTATTTCTAGACTAATTTAAACTCATAATAAGATGCAATACCATACTTTAATGCAAATTTATTGTAAAATTAATTTGAATGTTTATTTGTAAGTAATTTGTAAAATAAATCAATTAAAACAAATAAATGTTGTTCTTATTTATCATGAAATCTATCAAGGTACATTATTTACCTTCTTATTAATTTTTATGTAAATAGTTTTTTCAATATTGTGTGTGTATAAATAACTATCAACACAATTAGATATATCCAATAGTATATACGACATATTAAAAAAATATACGTATCTGCTGTAGTGTTTTTTGTGCAAATGGTTTTTTTTTTTTTTTTTTTTTTTTTTTTTTTTTTTTTTTTTTTTTTTTTTTTTGTTATTAAGATATCTGAATTACCTTTACTGGTTTAAAAGCAAATTATTTTATGTTACCTATGTTTATTATCATTGTTTTATTTATTTATTTTCAGATCAACCTTCATCGCTGAAACAGATATGCAATATAAGATTAAGGCAACATCTTTACAAAATTCATGGTGTCCATTTCCCAAATGTTATTTCTAAATTAAGTTTACCATCCGTCCTAGAAGAATATGTTGCTTGCCGTGACATATAGAACTTGTTAAAAATTTGTATATTTTAAAATACATTGAAAGGTAAGAACATAAATTTGCTCTTTCTTCAGTAGGGTTTATTCTGTGTACCAGAGAAAACAATTCTCTTATTTTCCAGATGTTCATAGCATATTAGACATTTATTCCTGATTTTTTTCAATAAGGATAACGATTTGTAATGCAGAAGTGTTAGTGATTTCCGCAGTTGGATTAGAATTTATGTCAAGCTAAATTTTTGAAGTTTTCATTGCTCTTTAAAGTAGAATATTGCATCATTTTCTTCCTTTTTTTCCCGGCAGTTATTTATGTATCTAGACTACATAACATTGCCCACAGTACTAGTTGTCTTAAATATTTAAGTTATTTTTCCCAGCATTTATTCTACTTATTTATACTGTTTATCTGTTATTGCATAATAATTTCCTTCATCTCATGTTCTGTTAATTTATATTTTTCATGACATATTCTGTTGTAATTTTGTTCACATTCTAATAATTAATGCAATTTTCTAATCTTTTATTCTTTCTGTTGATTTTTTTAACGTGAAACTGTTTTACTGGAAAGCAAAATATGTTCTACAGTCAAAAGTCGTTAATCCGGACTCATCGGGACTTCAGTGATTCCGGATTATCGATTTTTCCGGATTATAGATCATCAGTTTAAATCTGGTAAGATGGCATGCAGAAATTACAAAATTAAAAATATGAAACTGTAATTTATGAAATAAAGAACAATTATGATCTAAAAGGTATCAAAATTTACAAAAAGAAAAAGCTTAATATTTATTTGTTTACTTTATTAAACATTTCTTTCAATGTAAGTTGCTTCATTTCATGTGATAATACTTTCTCTTTAATTCTATTAAACACACATAATTCTTGTTTAGTTACAAAGTTCCGCTGTTCAAGTCCTATAATTGCTATGTTGAGAATACTGACTAATTTGTCAATCGAAACGTTTTCGTTTTCAATAACCTCTGGGTCACTTTCTTCACTATCGGAAGCGAATTATAATGACAAGGAACTTGATTTAAATCATATCAAAGATGGAGTACATCGAGATGAAATACTACACTTAGTAAGGAATTATAAGACAAATAAAATAAAAACATCTGCCCTGAAGATAAGGATAGTGCTGACAGATCAACTTCCAATCCGCAGCGTGAAATTGATAAACAGATTTCGGATTTCAAAACATACTTTTGCTTTGTAGATACAAATTACATATTAGTAAATATGTATTGGAAATTCTATTTGACATAATCGAAAGTTCAAGCTTACTTTTATGAAATTGCTCTAACAGTCTGCAAAAAATAATAAGCTGGATCCAATTCGTAGATTAAGGAACAACGCAATCTGCAACATTAACTGAATTAGATAATTTTAGCTTACCACCATTACACATTGCACGCGCATGCGCACAAACATATTCGCAGCCTAAAGGTCTTGCACGCACTCGTAAACGCCTGTGCACATGCGTGAACGCAACGCATGCGCAGAAAGTTTGTAGCTTTGAGGTCCAGATTATAGATCATTCCGGATTATAGGTGTCAATTAACGACTTTTGACTGTACAATTGCCTGTCTATTTAAGGCTTCCAGTTGTTAAATTTCCCTATTTCCAAACTTACCATATATGCATTGGAAAAACTCATTTTATGATAAACAGCCTGCGATTAAAACTGTTATTAGGATATAATCTGTAGAATATTTTATGGTCCTTGTGTCTTGTTGCAATGATGTAGGAATTATTTATATTTTTTCATTCAAAAATCAGTTTACTTGATTTTCTTGTCGTAAATCTAACCCAATGCTTTTCCTACAGTATGTGACTTTTGCAGATAATATAACTGTCTATGCCACTGATATACTTTGATTTTAACTCCTACAATTTTTTTCTGTGTGCCCAGTAAATAGTAATGCATACTCTTACAGTGTAATATATTTCATAAATAATTTCTTTATGATATAATGAACAATATTTTTTTTAAAAATTTGCATAAAAAGTTAAATATCAGCCTGTCTGTATTTTATGCTGAAATGCACTTCTTCCCTTAGATTTAGTAACAGCTTTTTTCATGAAATGCATTGCTATTTTTCCCCTAACCTATATGTGACATTGTTGTCGAACTAACTCAAAGAAGCAATTCCGTTTGCTCAATTAATGAATGGTGAATCATCAAAAAAGAGCAGTAGTTTGCTTAGAATTCACATATGGAGAGATGTTGTTGGAAGTGTACGAGGAAAGTTTGATTCCTATTTTAGAGGAGAAAAGAATATTTATCCTTCCATTGTAAATATAATTTTCATTCATTTACCAAGTTTTTTAACATTTTAATTCTATATATTAGTTCTGTGTAGAGAAAACGAGCTTTAGGGAATTTCAAAACTATGATTGAAAGGCAATGGTTCAATAAAGTCGATCCTATGGCTCAGTCAATTCTTTCCACTCTTTGCTTCACTGTTACTCTTTTGCATCTATTTTTTAAGGAACATATTCTCCTTTTTTTTATATATCTGGGAAGAACCTAGAAATTAGATCTAAAAATCTTAATTTACATAAGTTGGGATACATTTCTGGAATTATATATTTTGTATATTTTATTCTACTGATTTTTGCATCTTTATAAAAATGTGCCATAAATATGTACCCAATCACAATGAAATGTTTGCAGTTAACTTGTGAAAAAGTGTGAAAATTTAACTCATCGGTTAACAAATAATTATTTTTATAAGTAATAAAAAATTATGTTATTTCTAACAAAAATCATCATCCTATGCTCCTACACATAATAGATAGCATTAGAAATAAAAAGATTTTTTAAAATTTTAATTAATAAATAAAATTTTTATTTTCTTTTGAATACCAGGAATAAACCAAAATGTTAACTAGATGGTGCCCAAGCATTATGTTGTTGTTGTTGTGGCTAGTCTTGTTTGTCTGATCGGAACAAGCTTATGAATTTTATCTTGGTGAGGAGTGCACAACTGCTTTTGTCATTGCCATTAATATGTAACACCATATAGGTCACAGTATGACTTTTTCCCAGTTTGGGAGGAGAGCACCCAAGGCACTCAAGAGGACATTTGGCCTGCGTGTATTTTGAGTGCCCCCATGTCACACAGGTTACATACAATGTAGATAGATTACAAACAAAACAGATACATTTACAAACATCCATGCCTTCTCTAGGCCTATTGGTTATGGTAGCCAGCATCACTAACCACTATGCTGTCTAGGCATCATAAGTTTCATTCTGTAGTCAAGCTATATAATATGTGTAATTAAGTATGTATGTATTTTTAATTGCATTAAGTGTTTTAACATTTTTAAAAATGTGATTTATATATATTATATATTAAAAATAAGGAGGGAAATTATTAAGCAATACTACTTGTATTATTTTTAAACAGTTTAAATTACACTGCCAGGTACGAAAGATAAATTCAAGATTTTATATTGCATGGGGTGGCAACAGCTCTCAGTGTTGACAGTTTGCCATATAACATGGGTGACTGTTTTTTTAGTTCTGAATAGATAATAAGAGGAAATTTTACACCCAGATATTTTTGATTTAGACAGTTCTTTCTGCATAGTATTTTTTTAATTGTTCCTCCATATCACAATGAGATACTGAATTTTAGATCTCTGCATTTTTTTCTTTTTATAGACTGGGGATGTTATGATAATCAGTGTCTATTATTTTATTTTTCTGAGGATTAAATTACTTTTTCTATCCACATATTTAGTTTTGTCCAATAAGTAATTAAAGTTTGTAATTTCAGTCATGACATTAAACTGTTTATTTTAGCCTCTTCAGCTTAAAATAAAATTTTAAGCATAAAATTTTAAGATACTGAGGAAAAGAATGGGCACTTTTTAAATAGGCTTTTCTAAAAGAATGGCTATCAATTTAATTTTTAAATTCTCTGTGTTGTATTTAATATTTTACTTACATTCTCTTTCTATTTTCATTTTGTAATTGGGAGTAACAGCTGTACATGGGATAATTTAAATGTCCCTTTGTTTTAAAATTAGAATGAATATTTGTAAATAATATTATCAATAATTCTCAAGAAAGGAATATAAGTTGGGAATTTTTAAGCTGTAGAAATGAGCTATGTTAATGTTTTAAATGTTATAAAAATTTCCTATTAGACACTTTATAAATTATATTAACCCTTTGCAGCACACTGTACGCTAACGTCAGAATTTCAACAAAAAAAGTTGTATGCAGTCTATTTAGTCCTAAAATAGTATACAGGTAAAATTTTGTAAAAATTGCACTTCCCGTTTTAATTCTGTGGGTGTTCCATGAGGTGGAACACTGCGCCGCCAGAGCTTTTAAAAGTGCGACTTCGCGAGCATTGCAGTGAAGCACGAAAATGAGTAGAAGCATTTGTATAAGAATGAAAAAACTCTGTATTATGGCTGTATACATGGTTTTTAAATTATACACAATATTCTTGAATATATATGGATAAATGAGATAAATAATTATATACAAAAGTCCTATATACAAAAATATTTACAAATTTTCCTATTTCTTAGCTTCGTGAAATTGTTCAAAGCTTTTTGATGGAAGCACTAACCAACTATGATTAAAATAATTAACTACGATTAGTATTAACAATAAAGAAAAATAAGCCTATAATATATACATACAAGAAAAATATCTACACAATTATTGAAAATAAACGGGAATAAGACTAAAAAGCGACAGCAAAAAATTCGCGCAGGTCTAAGTAAAGATGAGTCGAGCTACTAATAAAATTCTCACCTAAAAAACTACTCCCAAAAAATTCGAGATGCCAATATTAGGGCTTTCATAACACAAAACACACCTCACCCCTCAATACTGCTTTGTTTGAATTCACCCCCCCCCCCAAAAAAAAAAAAAAAAACTGAAACAGAAAACGTAAACAACGGATGTTCTCTCATAAGCACAGATGTTCTGATTCGTAACAGCATGAGATTTAACATTAACGTAACAGCATTAATTTCTAATAAATGTTTTCATGAATATTTTGTTTATTTTCATTAGTATATACGTTTTATCTTTGCATTTTATAAAATAAATCATAATTAATTTAAACAAGACTAATTTTCAGAATTTTGCTTTTGTATGATTATTCTTCAATTTCAATTTTCGAACAACTTTTTTTAATCTAATTTCATATAGAAAAAAATAATTCTTTTACAAAAATTTTTTGTATATTTTAACTCTAAAATATATGTAGATTTGAAATATGTAATAAAACTGTGGAAACATGCACTAGTTGCCGGTTAAAGAGCAGGTTATTTATATTTTTGTTCTATATATTTTTAACTTTTTAATACTGATTTTGTTTTGAGAAAAAAGATCCATAATAATTATTTTTTAATCAAACATAATAAGTTGAATATTTTTTCTTTGAAAATGAAAATTTGAATATTTCTTGCTATTAGCAGCTTTAACAAGTGTGTAAAAACATTGAACAGAAATATTCCAGATTTTGGAAATTTTTGGATTTTAGATCATCAGTTTAAATTTAGTTAGATGATGTGTAGACACTTCAATATTTAGTCTTCACTATTGTTAGGTGAGATAGGAAAATGCTACCCCCACCACCCTTCAAGCTCCGAAAATGTGATTGTGATTAGCATCAATATAAGGTCGATCAATGTATTGTTAGCCTGTGTGCAATTCCTTAGCCAGCTGGCATTTGAAAGTAACATGCAGGAATCTCAGTCAGTGAAAAATCGAATTTATAGCATACCTGCCTGCCCCCATTTTTTTTAGTGTTATATTCGTACTTATATTTTGCTTTTCTTCCCTCCCTAGCCCCTGGTGGTTTAGAGGTCTGAATATTGTTTGATGATTTAAATATTGGATGTCCAAATTCTGAACTTTGTACTCTATTAATATGCCTTTTTGGAGTATGAGATCTATGTTCTCAAGCACTCTTAAGTTGACTATTATGTAATACAGATTCTATGTGTACTCATTACTATGTCTAGTGAACCATATATTAAAAGCAAGCAAACCACCATTTATAAAAGAATCATGCAGAACAAGACATAATATTCTAGAACTTGTACATGGTATCATTTGCAAAGCTATCAAAATTCATATCATTAAGAGGAATTCTATTTTTCCCAACAACCTGCCATTTAGTGCCTTTCTGCTTCTTCTTCATGTCTACGGATGACTTACTAGAGGAATCTGAAATCATTAAAGTTAACTCAACTTCCATCCAACTTCAGTCCACTACTCCAGGCCATGGATTAAAATTTTGGAAGTTTATGCCAGAGCCTTTTTTTTTTCAGTTAAGCTTAAAGGTACTAGTAACCATATCTTCCAAGAATATTGGGGGAAATTGTTTTGATATCATAAAATGCTTAGAGATCTCTGATAAAGCCTGGAATGAAGCCACCTAGAGAATCCTCAATTTTGTTTGGAGAAATTGTAAAATAATTTCATTCTTGAAATGACTTTGAGGGATATGTTATGAACAGAAGCCAACAGCTGTCAATCAACTAGTGCCCTTTTGGAAGACCATGGGACGGGTAGTGAATGAGGATGACCTTTAAGAACTGATATAAGAACATGGCCACTAGCTGTTCATCCTCTGACTAATGGATATGCATCATGAGTACCAACAAAAGGTTATGAAAGTGATATCATCTGAGGAAGAGAAGGGAAAAAAAAGTGACAGATTCTCTCATTTCAATTGAGATAACCAAGAAGTAAGTATACAGTACAAGTACAAAATTTTGCAAAAAAAAAAAAAAAAAAAAAAAAAAAAAAAAGAACACTATCCAAGTAAGACTGTAGCAGTGAGAGTGATGAATCTGTTTAGCAATAATGAAAAGTCGCATTTATTTGGAGTTGTCAAAAGAAGGCAAAAGCAATTGCCATTGGATAGGTTCCTTGGTAAAATGCACAAAAAAGAAAAGATTTTGGTGAGCAACAGATAGTAGTAATTTTCTTAGTTTAGCACAATTCTTTTCAAGGGTAAAGTGCAACTTAATTTGTTCTATGCATATTTTATATCAGCCATTTTTTATGAATATTTTTGGATTGCACAAAAATCATCTGAATTTTCATTATTTCTTATGGAGAAATTCACTTTGATATATGGGTGCTTGGGATTACAAGATTTCGGGAACAAATTATGCTCCAAACCAAGGCATCACTATATTAAGAAATGTAAATATGTTCCAGTATCATTAAATCCCACTACTGAATTTTGTAAATCATGATATATTCATAAATAAGAAACTATATATAAAAATATTTTGTCTTTGATCAGATCACTTATTTATTTAATTGTGTGTGCAAGATTTTGCAATTCTAAGCAAGAAAACTTTGCATGAAATATTAAGCTTAAAAATACAAAGAAAGTTTTTTTTTGGGGGGGGAAGGAAAAAAAAATTATGTGCAAAAGCTATATTTAGATAGAGAGGAGAAGTTATTGCAAAATCTGATATTGCAGCTTCTGTATGTAGATTAAATCTTATTTAGCTGTAATCCTGAATGTATTGGATTCAAGATAAGTGTTTGTTAATATTTGAATCAATGTTAAATGCCAAAATAACATCATGCTACCAATGAAAATCCTAATTCTAATATCAATGCATATCAGGCTAGGTGAATCAATGAAATAAAATAAAAAAATAATGCTTTCTGGTACTAAAACTGAGTATTGCATCATGACTAAAGCTTTGAAAGGAGTTCAAATTTTAATTAAAATTTGTTCTATAAGAACTTGAATTTGAAGAAAAAGGGAGAAAACAAGTAATAATTTTGGACTGACAATCAAAATGTTCAATATTGAATAAGAATGTAGTTATGTTATGTAAATGTACGGTTATTTAATAAAAATGTATTATGTTAAGGAATTAATTTATAAAAAAATGAAATTGATATCAGATATGCATAGTATATTAATTGGTATTTTGTCTAAAAGTCTAAATATAATGAATATAAGAAAAATATGGTTCTGGTGAGGGCAAATATTTATATTATTTAATATTGTGTTTCTTTCTGGCATGGGCTTCTAAGGAAAATGTTAAAATTCCCATTTTGATTAAGAGAATGTTAAATTCATAAGTTTGAAGTGCTAAACTGTACAATGTGACTGCATTCATGCTTTTTAAAATGGACTATGGTATAAGCTGTTTATTGTTGATAGATTATTCTAAGATATTATAGAGTATGATGTAGTGCAGTGGTTGGCAGTCTTTTATACTACAAGGGCATATTTTTAAAATGTGGGAATTCAACGGGCACCACAGATATCATCGGCAGTAACAACAAAAAATAATACATGACAAAAAAAATAAATATATAATTGTATCAAAATAGATTTAATTTATGTGATTTGTAAAAGCGTTAATATTCTAACAATATGTTTTGATATTGCAAAAATGTTTATGAAAACATATTGCTATAACATGTTGTTTCTAAATGTTGCTCCCTGAGCAAGAAAATTACAAATTGTTATTGTTGAGCAACTGAAATAAGTTGCTGGTCTAAACAAAGCTGATGTAAATGATATACTTAATTAAATTATTTTTAGTATCAACCATTGCAAAAGCAATGTCTGAATCTTTTTATCTTTTAATTTGAAAAGAACACACACTCTGCTTAAACTTGAAATATAAAATGACAAGTTTACAAATGAACAGAGGTTATGGATATAAAGCGTGGCATGCCATAGTTAAACAGAGTATAGGATGATAGTGAGGACAAAAAATAATTCACTATATGGGGAATCTATTTTCTAGCAGTTGAAAACTGATTCATCTGGTCATTGCAATAATCATTCATTTAGATGTTGCTAAGATTTAGTTTTTACGAAAGTTTAATTGTATAATTCGTACAGTTATTAAAATGGTGAAGATAAAATAAGAATTTTTACTAAAGTTAGTCATTACAATTATGAATGTTTGCTTTTCTTTTTAAAGCATTAAAATTATTTCATGGGCACCATGTTGCCAACCTTTGCTTTAGTTTGTTTTAATGATTTTCTTTTCACTAGTGCGTTGTTTTCTGGTGTTTATACTATATGTGAAATACTTGTTTAATACTGCTGTGATTCTTTCATCATAAATCTTCTTGTTCTTTCCAACTTACTTATTTTAATGAAAGTATTATTAGAGAATAAATACTATAAGAAATTTAGTTCACTAATTTTTTTTAGTGAATATACGAGATAACTACTAAATTAGAAATTATATGCTACATGGAATTGTCATTTTGAGGAGTTTGGTAAAGGCATGTAATCTAATGCGAATAACAGTAGGTCGTATTGGGGAACTGGAATTAATTTCAAACGATGATTGAATTTTGCAATTTGTCAATGTATGTGTCAATGCGAGTGTTTAGAAAGTTTTCCTTTTCCCCTTTTCTTTTTCTTAATTTATTAACCCATTGTCAGTTTAGATGGTTAATGGTTGCAAACTGTGTGACAAGAAATTTAGGCTTTTGTTTCAGCTTCCAAAAATGGTTTGGTTGTCTCTTACTGATTTTACTCTTTTCTGTAAATTTAATACTGTCAACCTATACATTTCAGCACAATAAACATTATCGGTAATGAGGTGGAAAACGAAAGATGGGTTTGGGCACAGTTCTAGCAAATGACTAATCAGCAAATAACCTCACGTCATTTGTTCAAGTATTATAATTTTTATTTAAAATTGTGTTTTTACTTTTTTAAGAACTGATCAAAGCAGCTATTACCATTTAAAACAAAAATCAGAGCAGGCCTGATATTTATACTCAATGCATGCAGTTTCAGAAATTAAAGGAGAAAAACTGTTGAGAAATTGGAAAAAAAAGCGTAAAAAATTATGTTGTATTTGGAATTTAAAAGATACCACCATAGCTCTAAAGTTCTTAAAAAGCATGCAAAATTAAATCGAAAAAAATAAAAAAGGGAGTAAAAAAAAACATTTATTTTTTATTTTACCATAATTTATACCAAATTATTTCTATTCTTAGCGCATTACTTATCTAACTGTAATATGTAATATTTTTAAAGGATATTGTGGGGAACAGAAATGATTAAGCTCTACGTATGATGAAATCAATCTATAAATAATGATAAAAAGCATTATTTGTGTAATCACATAGTTTGATAATAAATTTGTAATTTTAAAAATAATTATTAATATCATTATTACACTACTTCATGTTCAGAATTACAGCTAATAAGTACAGATGGGAAACTGCATCTCAGAACTGTGGTTAGAATGAACAAACATTGCAGTCAAAAGAAGACTAAACTGATTGTGAAAAAAAAGGGCTCTGCTGCGGAGTACTGTTGTTGATCACAGTAGTATAAAAACCTGTCTTGATTCATGGAATATTCTTGAATGAATTTAAATGAACAAGTTTCAACTTGGCCATCTATAATTTTTAAAATTGTTCTGAGTATTTACTACATGTTATCTGTTAAATTTGAATGTTAGTTAAAATAGAGAAAACAACGAAAACATTTTTACTAAATTAGAAATGAAATAACAAATGACAAATTCAGGGGAACTACACTAAAATAGAAGAATGATGCATCCCATTGTTTTTCATATGTTGATTTTATCATGCATTTGAAATTATGATGAAATAGTTATGAATGTATAAATAAAATTTGTGCAAAGTGCACAACATTTTTGTAGCTCTTTATTAACTTTGTTTTTTCAAAAAGGCAGATAATTAAAAAAAACTTTTATGATGTGCACATTAAAATGTTATGTAAAATCATGCATCAGACAGAATTATTTGTGGCAAGCAGTTGTATCAGAAATTCGAATAGGCATTTCTTGGGTAATTTATAGCAAACATTAACTACAAGAATAAAACGTTTATTGTGATGATATTATATTCCATCAAAACATGTGTATGCACGTTAAATGACATTCACTTTGCATTCAACTGATGAAGTATTTTATTTGAACAGGTGTTTTTTTAAATTATTATTATTATTATTTATTTTATTTTAATTTTAATAATTTTCCCCGTTTTATCTGAATTTAATTTATAGCCTTTTAAGTTACAGTCATTCTGTATAGAAAACAAATTTTTTATTCTGAAAAATTTAGTGACCCTGCTTATTAATCTTTGAAACTAAGTATTTGTAGTCATGTTATTGAAATAAAATCAGTTTTAAATGCCCATATTTTTTTGTTGTTTGTGCCATATCATGAGATATTCAAAACTAAAGTGTAAATAGAGTGTGTTCAAATTTATGTAGTCTTTATTATTTGTATGCTGGTGATTTTTTGGCTGTGTATTTTATCTTTTAAGCTCTTAAAAGCATCACTTAATAAAAAATAGAAAATGTTTAGCAAAATTTTCCGAAATATCAGTATTTATCATTCTGCAACAAAATTGAATTCTAAAAGTTTAAATAAAATTGTGAGCTGTATTTAAGGATTCTTTTTTGAATCTAATATCCATGTGTTAAATTATAAAGGAATATTTTTATTGTGTAATTAATATTTTGCAGCTTATCAGTGAATTAAAGGCAGAAGTAAAAATTAATTTTTATCATCTTTGGATTTGAAAAAGAATTGATATACATTCAGTTCTTATTTTTGCCTTCTTTAAATTTAATGAACATAGCTAAATTTATCATTGCATGCAAAAGAAGAAAATTTACCTTTGTGTGACATTTTATTTAGTAAAGGAATTTTTTATGAAGATCAAATGTATTCCATTTTTTTATTTAGTTGTTGATAGATTAGAAGATTTAAATGATATTGTTAAACCAGTGTTAGTGACATTTATCTACAATAATATAACTATGATTGTTTTTAAATTGTTATTACATGTATAATGGTTTTAATAGCTATATTTTCTGTAATTAGCATGAGTAGTAGGAGAAATTGCTCTGTGATTTGTATAATTTAGGAATTTATATATTCAGTAACTGTTTCCAAAAAGTAGTAATCCTTGATCTTAATACTTAGTTAAATATAAATATGGTATAATAGAAAAATATGTATAAGTAAGTATTACTGATAAGACTTCAAAAAACTTATAATGATGTTTTAAATTATATTCTTTATCTCAGTTCACTGCAACGGTATTATTTTACTTATTAATTTCATTTTATGTCAACTTTGTATTATTCATGGTTTGCAGTTTGTGAGACATAGTACTTAAATCCTCTGGCATCATACTATGTTATTTGGCAGATGCTGGGATCTTATTTGCATTTGTATATATGAAAAAACAATTGGTAAGGATAACATATATTTCTTAATGTTTAAGTGGCAAAAAGTAATTCAGTCAAATGAATAAAATGTATGCATATCATAATAAATAAACTGACTTCGAAAATAAGTCTTATTTTATATTGAATGCCTATAAAAGAATAAGCTTTTCAATTTGTTGATAAGTTTCCTACTGCAGTGCAGTAAAACATTATGGAGTATGCATTTACATATTTAACATTGTTCAATTTTGTTTAATGAATATCCACATGAGAGTAAATGTATTTTCAAACATTCAGCAATAGGTTGCTTAATGTACTAGTAAATTTTGAAAACTTCCCATGCTCAAGTTTAAAATTTATATGATCCTGTGATTTGTTGTTAATTAGTTAAATAACATGATTTTAAAATTTGTATAATATATATAAACAAAAATATCTTTTCATAAGAGTTTTTTCTTACTTTATTATATTTTAATTTCATATAAAATTAACGTTTTTATTTGATTTCTGAGATTAAAGATTTTTTGCGTGTTAATAGTTTCTTAAAAAATTGAGATTAAAGATACACTTGTAGATAAAATTAAAGTTGTTCATTACTTGTTCTTAAAGTAGATTTAAAAAAAAAAAAAATTCTTAAAGATTTTCCTTTTTCTTAAAGAAAAGTAATTTATTTAAGAAAATTTAAAATTGTGTTTTCTCTCGTTTTCTTTTAAGTAATTAGTCTGACATAATATTAGGCAATAGCTTTCAAGTGCTTTACCGTAATCAGTTAAAAGAAATCTAAAATAAAGGGGAAAAGTCTTCTTCTCTTCCCCCTTCTCCCAAATATTGTAGAGAATGTTATAAAAATGTGAAGGTATTATAAAAGACTGCATATTTGAATTTTTAAAAAGGATTTATAGTTTTTATAATAATACTGCAGTGTAAAATATTGCATTGATATTTTAATTTTAAACATTATACAGTATCATTTGATTTTTAAAAACCATATATTTTCCCCCCTTAATCTAATAATAATAAACTTTGCTTAAAGGAATAAGAAATACACAAAAATAAAATCTAAAACTAGGCAAAAAAGCAACCTTAGATTAGTATTGATTTTGAATAAAACTTGATAGATTTTGAGAGCAATCAGACATAGGTGCCTCTTCTTAAAAGCAAAAAGTATTTGCAAAGGTAGGGCAATTGCTCTCACCTTTTTTTTACCCAATTTTATAATGCTGTTATGTCTTGGCTTTTTTATTTTATACTAGCTGCTACGTGACCAGGCTTCTTCTGACTTTTAAATGTTAAATGTACCAGAAAAATGCGTAAAGGAAACACCAAACATTAAATTTAAAAACTGCACAGTTTTACTCTGCAGAACAACTTCATCAAAAAAAAAAAAAAAAAAAAAAATCAAAGTGTTCATATCAGCAGCAATGGCTGCATATGCCCCATGTGTCTGATGGGATTTCATCAAAAAACATAAAATAAAAAAAAAAAAAAAAAGCTCATTCAAATTTTGAAAAAAATCGCTTCCAGGTGTATGGGCTCTTGTCTAGATGCACCTATGTACCAAATTTCGCACCCCTTTGTCTAGCTTACGAACAGCACGAACGAAAGACACAAACACACAGACAGACAAACTCTTCCTTTTATTATATGTAGAGACTGTGACCAAAATTGGGTATGTATTTATTAATATGTTAGCTTGCTTCATTTTATTAAGAATATCCTAATTACAGCATATCTGTAGGTTCATAACTGTGATTATATAAAATTATTAGGAGTATTATTTAATTTGGAGTAATACTATGCAATATTACATGATACAACAATAAGCATTATTTTGCTTGAAATTATGTCAAGCAAATATTTATGGTAAATTGTAAAATAATGTGATATATTACTATCAAAATTTGCTGCAAAATACAACTTCTAAATGTGTGAAACTGTACAAGTATGTCAATCTGAGTTAAACACTTGAAAAAGCACACACCAAATATGTACATTAAAATTACACATGCCTTATTACAGCAAAAATTTTTCTAATTTGTATTTGAAATGCAAAGGTATTTGTATATATTTGTTAATAGATTTTGCCATTAATTATGCATTTTTTTGCTACAAAATATCTTTATGATCACTTGCCATTTGTAAAAATTTGTATCATCAACTCTACTTGTTTACTGATTGTTAAATATTTGCTAAAATGTTTTTTCTCTGCTTTTATAGAATAAAATCTGTTATATATACGTTGTTGGTGATGATTTAAGTCTTTTGCAGTCAGGGATTTGAATACTGAAATTCTTGTTATTATGTGTTAGGAATAAAATGTTTGAAAAAAGCTTCATAATCACTTCTGTCTCATCACTATTATTAATTTAAGCTAGAGATTGTATATTTCCCATATGCTTAAGAAACGCTTGGTTAGTGTTCACATCTCTTCACAAAGGTTATATCTTCCTAAAAGATTTTATTCCATTTTAAAAAAAAGTATTTATTGATGAAAATAGCATTTTAGAACCTAAGAGCATAAAGATGTAAAACAATTTTAGTACGTTTTATCGTATTCTCCTTCCTCTACTGCGCAAATCTTCCACCTCTTCTAAATTAACCTGAAAACATTTTCCAGTGGTGTAATTTTATTCTAAGCAAATGAAATATGAAATTTCAGTTGATTAATGCTTGTAACTTCACCTTGTACACCTCTATCCCTATAAAACCCTCAGTAAAACAAATCAAGCATTATTAGTTTTGATGAACATGATTTGAGCTGATATTCTTTGTAAGCTCTTCCAGTGCAATGATTAGGGAACACACATTTCCAAGGTAGTATCTACGATGTTGGCAAAATGTGATGATGCTTCTTTTTACTGAAGCACTTACTCTCATTGCCATTACAAATTAACTGTGGTTCTGAAAAAAATTTATAATATATTGAGGCAACTGTTATCTTTCACTGTTGCCTTGAAGAGCATGAATAGTCTCTGGACTTCTGTTTTAGATAATCTAAATGAAATATTAAATTATGCAATTTTGTCTTCCACTGAATTATTATAAGAAGTTATTCATCCGTCTGTATCATATTGTCATGACAATTAACTTCCATATCTATAAAATATAGTTTTATCAGTAAACAAAACATGTTCCATAAAATCTCATTTTCATCACCTGAATGTGAACAGTATACATAAATAAGTGACATGCAAATTCTTCAGGTAGTATATAAAATTCTTGAATGTAGTGGGCATCTTTCCTAGGACAGTAGCATAGAATTCTTGTGTAGGAGCACCAAACTATCTATTCAAACTGCATGCAGAAGATTTAGAATTTCTCCCAACTGCATTTCAATAATTTAAGCAGTCTGTGCTGATGTTGATGGCTGTCTTAAATTGTATTCATTCAACACACATCCCGTTCTTTGGCATTTGCTGATCAATAATTTGATATTGACTCTTACTGGATCTTTGTACAGAGTATTAAAGATTGGAAGTATAAAATTAATTATTGTCATCACTAGTCTACTGCTAACATGTAGCATTAGCTTAACCTGTTGATGAGTTATTGCCCTTAGCAACAATTTAACTGCAAAAACAAGTCAAATTAACACCCAAATAAAATTTATTAATTTGTGGTAGTTTACAACTAATATTAGTACTTGAACTAAAATTTGGCCCTGTCATCATAAACATATTACAAAGGTGAGATACATTGTATTTAAATTTCAGAATGTGTAGAAAGTCCTAATTAAAAATTTAACACTTGCTTGGTCTACGCAAAAGTTAATTCTTTAAATCACCTATTAGCAGCATAGCTACTATCCATTGGTGAGCTGCAGGGGGTCTTGCTGGAACCATTTCTTAAATTTTGTCCTAATGAGCTCCTTGTTCATTTCAAAAGAAAAACATATGTCCTGTATGTCATAATTGTTCAGTCACTTACATTAGACTTTCTTTCTTTGAGAACTAGAGTTTCAATCAGTATTAGTCAAATGCATTATAAATAACACCTTTTAACCTTTAATAGTTTTCAATAAATGTATTGTTTTTAATAAATTTGTTGTTTGGTATCACATTTGTTAATTATCAGGTTGATAGAAAAGTCCCATTGTTTAGTTTTTTTGAAAAGATGGGAGATCTTTTTTTTCTTCCCCTCCCCCTCCTTATATGGTATTTTTCAGATTTAATGACAGTCTCCTTAAATGAGAAACCATTTAAGAGAATTTCATCCTCAGTTTTATTTAAAAACGTTTTAGTAAAATAATTGCTTGCCCTTAAAATTGATCAGTGAACACGGAAAAAAAATATTGTGCAGAAGTTTTGGCACAAATACTGTTGCATAGTTAAATTTACTTATTATTTTATGCAAGTCCTGTGAAATTATGTGATTTTTTTTCCTAAATTTTAAAGATTTTTATTTAAATGTTTTCTTGTTCATGCGCAATTAGTTGTGTTTATAGTCTGTAAAAAATCTGATGTGTACACCACATGACTTCCTTGTACGGAATGTTAAATTATGCGCATTTTTATTGCGTTTCATTTAAACTTATTGGATTGAATTAAATCTACTTCGTCGACAGCGCATAAACCACAATAGAATAAATGCACTCTTTAAAATTCACTATATTTGTTTACCATAGCGACACTCTGGCGCTAGGTTCACTTAATATTTCGTTCTTATTATAACTCAGAATGCACAAAATTTATATCATTTGAAGAATTATCTTATCATAACCACATGTTCTATTCAAATCCTATAATAAAGCTACAACGATGTATAAAAGAAATTAAGCAAACAAAACAAAAATGAAACAGTTTTTCACAGACGATTTAGTATTTCTCATACAATTAATTCAGTTCTTACTTCGCGACAAGGCAAAAATACATAAAAACTCAAAATATTTGTATTAAAAATTACGAAGTAAATCTTAAACACTTATTTCCTCGAAAAAATTCCAGAACGGATTAAGCATGGTTTAATTATTTCCTCGAAAAAATTCCAGAAAGGCTTAAGTAGGATTTAATTCGCAATAATAAATGAAGGCGTTATTTTTGTTGTTGCGAAGCTTAGTCTCTTTAGATTGGCAACAAATCTACTATTCTGCTGTTTCAAACGTAAACAAATATGTCCGCCATGTTATTTAAAACTTAACTGCACTTAAACAGCTTTTAAATTGTTGACAATTATACAAATATTGCTTCCAGATTTACGAAAGGCATAAAAACAATCTTAACCGGAAGATAAGAACAACATAATTCAATCATTTTTAAAGCATAAAACGTACAATTTACAAACATATAAGAGTAAAGAAACAGATCACTATGCCGTGTAACAGAGTGGATATATATATAAATATATTTATATACGTTTGGTGCTGCCAATTGCAATCAAAATACGAGGTGCACATCTACATGTTATAGCAGTCCTATATACAAAATTTCAACGTTCTGAGACTACTCGTTTTTGAGTTTTGCGAGATTCGTACGTACATACGTTCGTACAGACGCCACGAAAATTTCTCTTCAGAATTCATTTTAAAGCAGTTTTATAATTTTTTTGGAGGAAAAGAGTCTTTTATTCTGTCCTTGCGTACAGATGTCACGCAAAAACATCATTAAATTGCATTCGATAGCGGTCAAAATGGATATTTTCGTTGAAATATGCTGCCTGAAACTTTTCGCGATTACAATACTTCCTTTTTACTTCGTACAAGGAAGTAAAAATAAAACATTTAATTAGAATTCATTACTTTGTTTTCATGAGATAAAATGCAAGAACTTTGTTTACATTTTTGTCTCACCAGTGCTACTATATAATTTTTGGCTTTCCATGAATCCAGTAAGAACTAGTTCTCAAAGTGGTAAATCACTGTCAAAATGATTAATAAGAATCATGATTATCAAGAACTGGCAGTAGTTTATGGATCTTCTTTTAAAGTATTAACTTGGTCCTTCACAAATTAAATTGTAGGCAATGGGAAAAATAACTGATCTTTCATTCTATTTTTTGCATTTCACTGTTTATTAAGTTACACGATTTCACGGCTGGATTTCATATCTATGGAGGACTTTATATATTACGAATTTTTTCTCACAAATTTGCTCAAGCATTAACGTTGTAGAAGTACCGCACCTTGAAATTAATTAATTAATATTTTTTTAATTCACGAAAAATTGCATTAGAATGGTAACACCATTATCTAGCGATTCGAAGGACCTGTGGATTCCACAGTAAAGACTGGAGGCCTTCCGCTGATGTCAACTATCTATAAAGAATAGGAAACGCCAGTTTAAAGTATAAAATTAGTAAAAAATATAACCTTAGGTTGGTGTAGATTTTAAATAATATTCTATCGATTTCAAGAAGAAACACTGACATAGGTCCCTCTTCTTAAGAAGTAAGAACATTTTGCT